GGATTCTTCGGGATCCTTAGACAGACTTTTTGGGTAGTTATGTAATTAATAGTTAGAGGGTTATATTTTCAATATTTGCATCATTGCTACTTGTATTTATTTTGTATTGATTATGGTTGATCACAAAGTAAATTCGAAGGCCTTCGTGTATTTTTAGACAAAATGATTTATTATATATTTATTTATTTAAATTATTATTTTTGTCAAACAAATGTTTTATTGTGATCGAGCTAGAAATAATCAAAGGTACCAAAATAAATATATTAATTAAGTAGTCGGATTGATGGCTTTATTTATCCGATAACTAATTATGCATAGAGGGGTCAAAGTGCAATATTGACTTAGAGGTTATTTATTATTTAATTGGAGTTCAATTAATTTCTTTTAGTGGAGTAAAAATTAATTTATGAATTAATTGAATTGGGTCCATGAACCGGGCCAATTATTAATTCATTGTAGCCAATAAAATAATAGGCCCAATGGATTCTCACTCATAACCCAACTTGATATTGGAATCATATTAGATTTGAGACATGTGAATTAGAGATTAAGAAGGATTAGTTGTTTCCTTTTCTTTACCTTTATGTTGCCTATAAATATACATGGTCAATGTATATTTTAGGTGTGATTTTTAGTAGAAGGAAAAAGGAATATATTTTCTCTCTCTAGAAAATTAGGGTTTATGTTCTCATCTAATGGAGGCTCCCACAAGCCTAATTTTCCAAGGTCATTCATGGAGGCATATGAGTGATTCCTAAAGGCAAAACAATTAACAAGAAGATGGAAATCCAAGAGAATGCATCTTGCTAAGGGATCTACAATAAGTGAGAACATTCACTTTAGAAGAGAGATCTAAGGTTTACTCAAACCTTGATGTAAGTATTCAATCTTTTAATTGAATGATACATCATGTTTTATTTTTGCATAAAACTTGTCTCTATGTAATGAATCAAGATCTATGAATTTAAATCCCTTGAAAAGTTTTTAAAACTAGCACGTTTCCCGACACAGTTTAGTCACCGTGGGTTTAAGATAGCTCCTAAGTTCGCTCGCCATCATCTAAGCATGAAGGTCGTGGAACCCGCTGTTGGTTATGGAGTTCACCGGCATTCATCACTACTTTGGTCACCGGAGTTTTACTGGAGCTTCACCGTCACCATTGGAGTTGAGCTCATTGATCCTCTAAACTGAACTACACCGGACAGTGTTCGGCGTTTTGAAGCTTGGTTCGATTGGTCGGACTAGAGTGAAGCTCGCCTAAACTGTTTGGGCAGACTGGTTGGCCATGTTTGTAACTTCTTCAGTTGAGTCACATTTGGATAAGGAAGAAAGCTTCGGTCTGGTAGCTTGGAGCTCGCTATTGGGTTTGATCATCACTGCCAGTTGCTCGCCGTTATGTCAGTTCTTCACCGTTGGTCTGTCTCGCCGCTGAGATCATGCATCGCCACTAGCGCCATCCTTGTGTCGTCGGTGTGGTTCATTCTTGTTCGTCACCGCCATCCACATCCTTGCCGGTCAAAAGAAAAAACCACCGTGAGTGCACACTGAGCACATCTTTGCTTGCCGTCCACAAAGTTCACTGCTACTTCTTGATTTCAAGATACAAAGGGGTTGTAATTATTTTCCCAAAAGAGAAATAAAGAGAGAGAAAGGGTAGGTAAATTAGTTAAATTGGTGGAGGGTAATAGGGTTATTTCTCAACACAGTTGAGGAGCAATTTGGGAATCAAGACACTTTCATAAAATTCCATCATTTTAAAAAGGTTTGACTTTGACTCCATCATTTTGCCAGTAAACCTCCAAAATTCCATTTTTTAAGAATTATCCATCGGACGGGAAAAATATTATTAATTTTTTATTCAAGTGTACACCATTATCTCTCTTGAATGATTAAATAATCAAAATATTATCTGTCGGGCGAGGAAAAAATATATTTATTCATTCATCATAAGAACCCATACTTGTAATTCCGTGTTTAAAATAAACTTGGAGGGAGAAATATTCTAAGAATAATGATACTCTTGCCGAAGGCTTGGGGCCAAATAGGAGGCCCAAACCTCTCATTTTTTTCTACACAAGGATTTGCTATTCAAAAAGGAATCTCTCTCCACAATAAATGCTCATCTCTTGCTGGTTAAGAAAAGCCTTTAGTTTCACAAAACTTACTATTAATGCCGATAACCTTGCAAAAGAATGTTGGAGTAGAATTCATATTTTTTAATGTAAGTTTGAACGTGAAATTTACTCATTAGGATTTAGTCCCTCTCAAAATTAATATAATATAGTAAGTTTTAAAAAATATATAAAGATTAAAATTTTTTAAAAAGAAACAGTTATCTCTCATACAAGTTTTCAAACTCTGCACTTTTGACATAAAGTTTTTATTTTTTTTCAAACTTGCTTTATTATAAATGTATTATTTATAAGTTTTTGCTTAAATTATAACTTGTATCAAACCATCTCAGATCTCATTAGAATTTATTTAGTATTTCCCATTTTTCATTTTTAGTTTATTATTTAACAACCATTTTTTTAAATAAATAAATTTTTTTTTGACAAGTTAAAAAAAAAAAATTAATTAATTAAATAAATTATCATTACTTTATATTAATTTTTTATAATTTTGAAGCACTTCAAAAAACTAAAAATGTATATGTCAAATGTGTGGAATTTGAAAGCTTTTATGAGAGACAACTCTATCATGTCCCCCTTTTTTCCTTTTTTTTTTTTTTTTTTAAAAAAAAAAAAAAAAAAGTGAAATGCTAGATTCTTTGTGATGTGTGAATATCAATTCTCTAAACACTTAAAAGTATTTCATCCATAGGTTTTTTCATATATTTTATTAATTTGAGAGAAATTAAATCCAATTAGCAAATTTCTGGCATAAGCTTACATTTAAAAAATAAAAATTAAAAAAAATAAATAAAGAAACAAACAAACAAAAAAATAGCACAAATTCGGACTCCAACATTCCTTTGTAAAACTCAAAGATTTTTTCTTAACTAACAAAAGATGGAGTATTTACTTTCAAAAGAGAAAGATTTCTATTCTAAACAAATTACTATGGTTTGATAATGAATACCATAGAGAACCCCTGTCCCACTTGATATTTAAGCTTGAGGGTTTTATGGCATCACATACATTACTGCATGTGTTATGACTTAATCCATTGTTGAATTTAGAGACAAGTTTGACCCACAAGACTTTCTACATTTCCTTTGGATAGATTTTTCAAAAAAAAAAAACATCCATTTTTCCATCCATAGAGAATTTAAAAAATGCTTAAAACTCTTTAAAGAGATTTTTAGGAAACTCTTTTAATAATAATTCTCTACTTGGAAAAAATTAAGAAATAGAACTCCAATTCAGATAGAAAGTCAAACTTGTTAGAAATGTCATTTCCAACAATCTCTCTCATCATAGTTTATCAACTGTAAATTATAACACTTTATTTTTCATGGATCAATATGCATGAATATATACCATCCATCACACTTACATGAAAAATAATTATAAAGCATATGCGCATGGATGAGAACCAAATATTCTAGGCTTACCACATGTCTTGGTCCTCAAAAGTTTTCTGTAAAAGATTGAGGACCAAGATATGTGGCAAACCTAGAATAATTGAGTCTCATTGTTGTATTTTTTATTGTATATTATTCATGTGTGAGGCAATTGTAAAGGGCAATTATCTTCAAATTCCCCTTACTCTAAGCCTACATCGTTTATTTTGATGTATAATTTTGAATGAATATTGTCATTCCATGTAATTGTGTTTTGGAAATTGTATATCAATCTCCTATAACGAAGAAGGCCCACTTTGAGAGTGTTTGAAGACTCAAAGATCTATGCAAAGATTGTTGGAGAGACCAGTTCGAGTCAACTCAACGGGGGAGGAGAGGCCCAAGTCGACCCAGAGGAAACCCAAGGATCACCACCATGCAGCGACCATGTCGCTGCCGGACGGGACGGAACAGTCACTGCCCTTGTGCAGCAACTTTTTGGGTCTTTTCCCGGCAGTTTGGGTGGTTATCCATGCTATGTTAGATACCCATTTGCATAGGTTTATTTAGTGCCCAAGTTAGAGAAGATGGTTCTAAAAAATGTATTCTTGGAGATCAAGTTTATGGTGTAGCATAGAGTCTTCTTGGATGCCAAGGACAATAATGGGTAGCATAAAGTTTTCTTGGATGCACGTTGGTTGGAGATTCCTTCTCTAACGAAAAATTGGTATCAAGAGACTACCATCTAGTTCTTGTAGAGTATCATTCATGATTTTACGCAGCCTTTACACTTTCATGGTGTTGTTTTATTTGTAGTCATTGAGCATTTAAATAATGGAAAGAGAATTTGTGTGAATTATAGATCAAGTGTTATTCAAGTAAGCATGGGCCCACTGTTTGGTGCAGTGGTGAGGTGTGAAAACATAGATTTGAATGCGAGTGCAGCACTCCAAGCAAAAATAATGCAATAGAGCATGTCTATTGTACATATCTAGTCCAGCCTCCTAGTCCACCACAAGGGTAGGAACAAATCAGGTAACAGTCGACACGGATCTTTTGGTTTGTAAATTCGGTTTCCTTCACAATTTTATTTCTTCACTCTTATCAACTTAGTACATGGAAACATCATTACTTTTTGCCTCTCTTAAACAGTATTCCACACAACTTACACTTTATGGTTAATAAGTCAAAATCTTTGTTTTATTTCCTTTTCATGTATTATAATTAATTAAAGTAAAATATAAAACATTTCCAATAGCGGAAAAGATTCCTCATCCACCCTTGTGTCTATAGCCATAATTTGCAGAAAGATTTAGAAATTAACACATAGGGCCTTCAAAATAATTCAAAATAATTTTCTATTTTTTTTTAAATTCTTTGAAGTCATATCAAATAATTAACAATTTAAACCTTTACGCTTGTACACTAGACCGATTCCATGTGTGTAATTCAAAATTTAAAATCCAGATATGTATATATATATATATAGATATACCTGAGCAGCCTTATAGGCGAGCATAGTGTCCTCAGCAGCCTCCTTTCTCTCAGCCCCAACCTTGAATTCGGCAAGGTACCGATGGTAATCCCCCTTCATCTTCAAATAGAACACCTTGGACTCGCTCGCCAACGACGTCGGAATCAGATGCGCATCCAACAGCCTCAGAATTCCGGCGCAGACCTCCGTGAGCTCCGTCTCGACCTTGGATCTGTAGTCCTTCACCAGCACCACGTGCTCCTCGTTCTTGCGGGACTCCTCCTTCTGCTCGATCGATGACACGATCCGCCACGCCGCGCGGAGGGATCCGATCACGTTCTTGTAGGCGACGGAGAGGAGGTTGCGCTCCTCGACGGTGAGCTCGCCGCCGGCGGAGGTGGTGCCTACGACGAGCTTCTCCATGAACTTCACCATCTCCTCGTACCGCTCGGCTTGTTCGGAGAGCTTCGCCATGTAGACGTACTGCTCTCTGGTCAGGTTCTCCGGCACCGCCGACGTCATTTGGAGGAGAGAGAAAGTGTAGAGAGAGAGAGTACAGAGTAGAGAGAGGAAGAAGATTTGATTGAAGTTTGAACAGCTCGGAAAATGGCTTATATTACGAGGTATTTATTGGCTTTTTGATATTTTCGTCCTAAAGTACTTGTCTTGGAAAGTCATATGCCTACTTGCAAGTGTGTGTCAAACTCTGACAACTCGCCAGGCTAGCTTAGTAATTTCAGATAAATTCAAACATTATTTTTTAAAAACAAATACATAAAATAATAATGGTGTAATAGTAATAAATTGAATGTATACTTATCATTTTTCTAAAATTAAAATACATTTTAAAGAAGATAATTAAATTGACACAACAATTGAGTAGATCCAATTCAAATAGATACATTTTAGGTGTTTTATTTTTGACTAAAATAGAAACAGTATTTTTGGTGTAAGAATATTTTGAAAAAAAATTAGAAACACGTTTGGGAACGATATTTGCTGTGTAAATGTCGGAAACAGAAATATGTAAAATATAGTTTTGGATCATGAACAGTTATCAAAATTTTTGCAGTATGTAAAATAAAATAGCACCAAATAATGCTTTTGTTGCCAAAATAGACAATGTAGCAACCCAAAAATAAAAACAACACAAACAAAACACAAGCCAAACAAAAAAATTATACATAGTAGTCTAACACTCTTAGTCTAAACCATGCCTTGTTCAACTTCTATTTGAACCTAAATAAAAAATTTCAATATTATTCAAGAAATTATTTTCTCCTATGTACTCATTTTTTGAACCTTAGCCCTCATTTACCCAAAAAAAAAAAAAAAAAAAAAAGTTTGAAACCAAATATATGTGATTGGATATTACGGATAATTTGGTTCAATTTTTTAGACCTCTAATTCATGAACTAAATTGTTCCTAACGATTACATAATTTTTGAAACTGGGACCGAATTGTTGAGTTATAAAACCAAAACAAAAAAACAAGTTTAATTCACATGAGGGGTGGTTTGGCATTTTATTAAAAATTACACATATTAAAGTGGAAAAAAAAAAATTTGAAAAAACAATAGATGTAAGATGACAAAGAACTCTTGACGACAAATTATATATATATTTTTGTCATTATTGCATCAGTTATATTTTTTTATTATTATTTTTTTGAATAATAAAAGGGGCATTTTGTAGAAAATAAAAGTTCAAGGGGTTTTTCTACTAATGGTGAAAGTTGTTTTGTGCTTTAACCCGAAACAGAAGCAATGTTTATATTTTTAGAATATGTTCAACATTATTTAAAAACTTATTTGGTAACGTAAATTTGTTACAAGATTTTTAAAAATAAAAACATGAAAGCATGTTTGGTAAAAAATGTTACAAGTTTGAAAATTTGAATGGTTAGTTAAAAATGTTATTTTAAATTATTATTAATTTTTTTTTTAGTGTGTTTTGTTACTGTGCAAAAGCAAACAAAAACATCATTTTGATGCTTTCAATTTTGATCTCAATTTTAAAAGTGTTTTAATATTATTCAAAAGTATAACAACTATTACTAAACATACTTCGTATTTTTACTTCGTTACAATAATAACAAAAACAAAAAATACAAAACAAAAGTATTAACCAAACAAGCAGTCAAATTGACTATATGTAACGCTCCTTGTGCATTAGGCTAGTGATATAGGATCAGTCTACTTATCCAAAAAAAAAACAAAAAAAAAATGGTATAGATCCCATCTAAATACGTGCACTGCGTGCTTGATTTTGTCAAACAAAAATAATAGCTAAAAAAACCTTACGCATGTAGGGGGCAAATTCATCCATGTTAATGATTTCCGCAACTCACACCACTTCTATTTAAGTAACTCAATGTTAAAGTGTATAATATTACTCCGCGAGGCTACTTGTAGCAGTCTCTCCTTAATTTTATTTTCTAAATTAGTCGCATTAATTTTTTTCAAAAGTCACATAGACAACTTTTTCTCTTCAAATTTTGATGATACACAATTTCTCCGAATTTTCTCTCTCAAAATAATAATATTACACATTATTTCAACACCCATAAACTCACTTTTTTACCTTCATTATGAAAATTTTGACTTGCATGATTCATGAAGCAAGAGTCATGCATAGTCCACCACACCTCATAATGATACGGCATCATCATCGCTTGACAGAAGTGAAGACTAATTTGGACGCGTTTATAAACGAATTACACCAATGTCAACAATGCAAATAGAGTTACGAAAAGCGGCGAGTACAAAAATTTGAATACTCGAGCGAGTAGAGTGAAAGATTTCTTGTGTGGATTGGTGTATAGTTATCGGCGGGTAGAAGTTATGAAGCATGAGGGATGAGTCAGATTCCACTAGGACCACACTGCTGTCCCCGGTCAGTTCTGGTTGACGGCTTGTCAAGATATTTGAACTTTTAATGTATTGAGCCCAAACCTGTAGTTTGTGTACCAAATATTTGAGAAAGCCCAACCTAGATGAGGCTCATAATATGCATTTAACCAGTAAAAATGCACCTAAGTAAATTAGACAACCAACATGCCTCAATGGGCATTGCAGTGTTAGTAGGGAGTAAGTTCTTAACGTCTCATTTTTTAACAATATTTTTTATTAAAATAGTGCGTGTGTTATGAGATCAATACAAGTGTTCTAAGAAATAAAATAAAAAAATGTGTAAACAACCACCATCACATTGCAAGGTATTTCATTCCCACGACTCATTAAGGCCAGGCCCAAACTGAATCCCATGGCTGCCCAGGTCCACCATATATAATGGTCATCTTCTTTCGGTCTTAACCGTCACTACGGATACTTCTATAAGAGCGACATACTTCTATCAGATACAAGTCAAATATCGATACTCTTCAAATACTCATTAATATGTGTCCGATACTTCTTAAAAGTATCCATAATTTTAAATATATATTTTAATTTCTAACGCGAATCCGATACTCCTTAGATATTTCGATTGCGTATCAAATACTTCTCAGATACCTCATAACACATTTTTAACAAGTTTTGAATATTAAAATGTGATTTTTCTAACAATAATAAACTAGTATAGTGGTTAAGAAAATTTATTAAGTAGTGACTATAAATGTTTATTTTATATGTTTTGAAACAAACTCTTAGGTTATATTAATAATTAGATTCATAATATTAAAGAAAATTGATATTAAAAAAAAATTACATAAAAATATATTTATTATTAATATTTTTTTGCCATATCACATGTATTCCACTTTTTTTAATATTTACCCCATCGCCGTGTTCGTATCTACACCCTATATCTGTATCCGTGCCCGTGGTTTCTAGCTCCACTATAAGAATGCACGCCTCACCATCGTATTGCAAGGTTCTTCATTCCCAAGGCCCATTACTCGAGGCCAGGCCCAAGGTCAATCCCTCGGCGGCCCAGGCCTACCATATAGCCATCCTCATTTCAGTCTCGGTCTCCATTGTCACTCTTGAGTCTTGACTCTGCCTTCTCGTCTCATCCTCAAGCTCTCTCCACACTGACAGAGTAAATTTGAGTTGGTGAATGAACCGATAAACACTAATCTGACAATGGCCGGAAGTGGCCGAACAAGTGCTCGAAGCAGAATCAAATCCACCTCCGGCGTCGATGAAGATCGTACCCTCCGTCAGCCCAATCCGAAACTCCGAAGAAACAGAAGCAGAGACGACAGTTTTATCAACATCCTAAATGTAAATCTCAAAGCCTTGCTAGGGTTTGGTGTCATCGCATTCTTGATCGCAGTATTTCTGATTTATCATCTCATACAACCGGCCGAGGAAGCTCAGAAACCCAGGGTGATCACGCCTTTCCCTGGGCCAAAACTCATGGATCTTCCTCAGGTGAAACTCACATATATCGTTTAATCTTATATATATATGTATGTATTTTACACGTATAATATATATTGTTTATCTGTATATGTATAAATCAAATGTTGCAGTTTCAAGGTGAGCACAAGGAGAGTTTGTACTGGGGAACTTATCGGCCGCATGTTTATTTTGGAATTCGCGCGAGGTACTCCTTTGCCTACTTGGAAGTTTTTCTCTTTTGTTGTTATACAATTGACAATGGCGTTTTTCATTTTTATGGTAATTGCATTGATGGTTGTTATCATTGTTGAAGAAGAGGATCTAAAATTTTCCTCTACTTTTGTTTTTATTAATATTTTTCTGTTACAATTCTGATTGAATTCCTCCTGTTAATGGCAACACTTCCATAGTTTTACATATGTCAGTTTTAACAAAGATCTAGAATTCTATAATTGAAATGTTTGATAGAGGGTTGAGGACTAGAGATGCATTACCATGTAAAATCAACAATTATATGAATCAAGTATTTGAATACGCATTCTACACGAGTTCCATGTTTTGGTAGTGTGGTAATTGTTCTCGTCTCCTGTTTGGGAAGCACAAAATAAATTTCTGGTGTAGAAATTTTGTAATAACGTGGCTTAGATTATCTTTCTGGTGAAATGATGAATACTTTAAGTATTTCAACCAGGGTAAATTCCAATGACCTCCCTTGAGGTATGGGCAAATTATACATGGGTAGATCGTTTTGTATTTATTACTTTGACCTCTTTTGAGTTTTAAGTGTGTTTAATGACACCCCTATCATTTATTTTTTTTTTTTTTTCTGGTAAAATTGTTGACCAAATTTTATAAAATGACAAATTTGCCCTTCCCTTATATGAAAAGACAATAGAGTAAATTACACTGCCCTCCTAGGAGGTTTGGATAAATTACACGCGGGTCACGTGGATTTTCATATTAATAAATATATGTAATATAATATATTAGTATAATACGAGGGCATTACTAACTTTTCACACTCAAAAGTAACTTTCGAGGTGAACAGGTTTGGGGGAGGTCAAAGTAATAAACACTTAACGGTCCACCAACATGTAATTTGCGCAAATCTCAGGGGAGGTCAGTGTAATTTACCAATTAAACAAGTCAAGATGCAATAATATTAAGGGGAAGTTACACTTACCTCCCCTCTAGTTACATCTTCACAGGAATTTGAAGGGCAAATTTGTCATATGAAGGTAAAAAACTTGTCACATTAGCATTGACCATCTTTGACCATTAGTGAAACTGACGGCGGGGTCGGTTCGTCACACCCATGTAACTAAAAGGGAGGTAACTGTGATTATCCAAAATACTGGGGAGGTAAGTGTAATAAATCCTAATATTGGTTACCCTAATATTTTATTTTATTTTTTTGATAAGTGATTACCCTAATATTAATTAGAGCTACATCTATTAGGTTGGCATGCCAGATTCTACATCCTACATTAATGTGCTGGTGCTTTTCCCCTTCACTAAATTTTTATGTGTATTGCAATTGCGTAAGCTTAAGTTATTTTTTTTTTTTTTTGATAAGTAAAAATATATTAGAAAAACGTTCAAAAGGGGAACGCATCCCTAATACAAGAGAAAAGATCTAAGGACCAATAGAATCCAAGAGATCAAAGAAATCATCAATCGAGGAGCATGTACTTCCTCTAACATAAAAGAATAAAGAAAGAAGAATATGAATTTTTAAATTAGCTAAGGACGATTCTTTTCCTTCAAAGGATCTGTTATTTCTCTCACGCCACAAACACCACTAGACACAATGAGGAACAATCTTCCAATAAGCACAAGCTTGTTTCTTAACAGGACAGCTTTTCCAAGCGTTAATCAATTGAGAGGAGTGCTTAGGCATTACCCAAAAAATGCCGAATATGCTGAAAATAAAACTCCAACAACCAAACGCCACAGGACAATGCAAAAGAATGTGATTCACGGATTCACTATCATCTTTGCATAAACAACACCAATTAACAATGATGTTGCCTCTCTTTCTTAATGTTACCATTGCTGGATTTGAATTTTACTTCCTTTTAGAAATTATTTTGGCAATAAGGAATCAAATAACATCAGCATCTTTTAGAAATATGCTTCATACTCTGGTTGAACAGGCAGTTACCGGTGTTTGCTCGAAACACAACAACAACCACAACACGCCTTTTTCCCAACTACTTGGGGCCAGCTAGTGTCTGCTTGGAACCGTAATAATAAAATTCAAATAGACAATGTATGGCACTCAAAACGTAGAGCATTTCGTAAATTGCTGAGCTTCACACCTGCAAACATACATATTCTGTAGTTGGGTGGTTTGGTCCCCCAAATTCATGTTCTAAAGCTACTAAAGTTACTCTCAACTCAACAAAGCCTTAAAATCAACTACTTTGGATCATGACAAGTTACCAGAATTACTAAAACAAGTCAAATTGTTTCTTTTGGTATAACTCTAAGATTGATATAGGTATCATTGTACTTCACTTATAAAAGAAAAAAAAAAAAGTAAAAGGAAAAAAGTTGTAGGTATCATTGAGCTTTAACTTTTTAATCATCCAAAACCTCTTTTCATTTAAAATTTTGAATCATGTCGGGATGGTTTGATTCTTAATTGGAAAAGTAAAAATTGTTATGATTAAAAATTATGTAAACTGTGGGTATTCTTAAAGAGATGTCTTATTTAAGATGAATTAATGTTGTTTTCTTTTTTATGAAGACACATGGTTCATTGTACCTAAGGCAAACCCATTAGAAGTCGTACTCAGCTCAAGCCTTCCATGTAATTTCTACCGCTATAGAAACACGAAAGAATTGAAACATCACAACCACCTTGACATTGATAAATGACATTTACCATTGGCCTATAAAGTTAGATGATATATGATTGGTCTTGCTCCGCAGTGTCAGCGCTCATTACCTTGTAGGCTAGTAAGAAAGTATCATACAAGTATTATTTGTGAAATGTTAAGGACACATATCCACACACTATGGGGAGATTGTTCATGTTTCACTGAGGTGAATGCCATTGTGAGACTTGCACCATCCAATAGTAGACAATTCTTAGTGACACATGAGCAATAGTTCAAGACAGTACTAGAAATTTTATAGATTCATGAGCTTAATGTTTAATTGTTTTACATATAAGAAAAGAAAGTACATGTTGTACAAGTTTGCCTCATTGTTTTAAGTTTCACTACTTGTTTTATTGCCTTGCATATCCGAGTCCAAAATTTAAAGGTAAACTTAAATCAGTTGCAAAAGCATTTATTGAGAAATCTACAATTGATATGCTCTGATACCACTTGAGGGATCTGAGGAGCGTTACCCTAGACTCTAGAGGGGTGTGAATAGTTCTTATGGATATCAATTTGTAACTAACTCACTTTTCAAATTTTATTTAATCCTTATCTAAAATTTAGTTTATTAGTTAAAATTCATGTCTCAATTCTAATCACAAAAACTCATAAAACAATAAATAAAATAGAGTAGAGACACAAGAGTTTTTACGTGAAAAACAGTAGAAAGGAAAAAATTATGTGGCCTTGTTCAGTCATGTTAAATTCACTATGGGAAATAAATTTACGACCAGGCCGATTTTTAACCCCTTGAATCCCCTAGTTACCTCTTAATTCAGACATGCGATAGACTCTCCACTCAAGCTCATGTTGTTGTCTGTCAACATATTTGTTCCTAACATGATCTGCTTCTCCATGGTTGATCAATCCTTAATCTTCGGTTGATTGTTCTAGTTTGATTCTTTTTTATGTACTCCTTGATTTCAATCTCTAAATCACATATATTGGATAATCAATAAAAAATCTTAGGTTCAAATGTTCAATCTCAAAGCTCTCTCTCTAAAAATATAGAAAATCTTTACTTTGTGTTAGAAACTTGTAGAGATATTCAAAAATGCCCCAAACTGACTTTAACCCTATATTTATAGTCAATGTAGGAGTCCCATGTAAAATAAGAATCAAAATCCTGTTAAAAATTTATTTCGAGAGAGTTTCTAGAACGATGGTCTGTTGATCGATTGAGCCTCCATTTGAATCTCACTGGCTTTGCTTCAACGAGCATTCAGTCAAAAACTTTTGCGCAGGACATTCTTGACTTCAATAAAAATCTTTTAGGAAATTGTCGATCAATAAAGACTTCGATTGAACCTTACTCTTTTGCAAACATTGCTTGTTTCAAAAACTCATTTGAATTCTTTGACAACTCTTAGGATCAAAACCCTAATCTTGGAAGAAAATATTAGAACTTTAATTTGAGCCTTTTAAAGATCATATCATACCTAGGTCATAAATGGTCTCAACTTTCCTTAACTTAGATTTGTGATTGAGTGTGAGAGATTTTTGGTTTGTTCTTCGCTGATCTTCATTTCCACCATTTTTCAATTGTAGATAAACTATTCATGGTATTTGACACATCAAATTCCAAGTATTGAGTATAAATTTACCAACAAATAACTCAATAACATAAAATTTATTAAAAGAATTAATTCCCTATACATTATTTTTCTCCTTTATTTTTTCTTTCTTTTTGTTTATTTTTGGTACCAATGGGTGAGTTCAAGATTCGAATACAGGTCATTAACCAGCATATGCGATAGGGTCCTGGAAGAGGAAAATCAAGAGACAAACTTAACATGTGCATCATTTTGCTCAAAGTGGGCTGTTGTAAGACTTGAACATGCATTCTCCTAGTAATTGCACTCTATCATCTAGATCAGTAGAAAAGCATAATTTCATAAACTTTCAGAAATATAAAATGCCATTTTTTTTTTTGTGATAAGTAGAAATATAAAATGCCATTAACGGACACATTGTTATTGTACTGTGTCAGCATATTGGAAATTTTACATCAGAAGCAGCGTACTTGTTAGATATAAAATTACAGATTGCTGAGACAATGTACTATTTTCAACAACAAAGAGAAACTACCGTTTATGATTGGAAAGTGTACACTCAAAATTAAAGTTAGTTACCAGAAACCCCACCTTCATTATGAGCAGTGATTTTGAAAAGGTTTAAGACCTTTTTCTCCAGTTCAGTGTTCTGTTTATAACTGATATACAAAAAAGATGTAGATTAAAACTTTCATTTCTGTGTTGTGATTTATGTGCTGAATTATAATCAGTTGATAAGTTGATATTGTATAATTATTTATTGTGCTTGAGCCTTTATAATGATGACCATTATTAACAGATTTAATTGGCAGGACTCCAAGGTCTTTGATTGCTGGATTGATGTGGATTGGTGTAAAGGATGGAAGATATTTCATGCGGCATGTTTGCCAAAATACAGATGAGCTCAAGAAATATGGTTGGGTGCATCATAATGGACGGGATTATGGACGCCAGGTGCTGGTTGACCAAGATATAATGTTGACAACAAGTTTTTTGAAATCCAAAGCTGATGGAAGTGGCTATGGAGGGGACTGGGCAGTTCGAATTGACATGCAAAGTGAAAAGTAAATATCTTGACCTATTATCCTAATAAAGCCTTTAATATTGAGCTTGCTTTTCACATGGTGTAACCCCAAGCTGGATGAATTTTCAAAGTGATGTCCTTTTATAAGAAATTTTCATGTGAATCGGTGGTGGAAGATGATGAACATAGTGGAAATGCGAACAATGAATCTGTGTAGTACTTTGTATGAATTAGATCGACCAAATCCTCATTTGACATTTTTAAAAGAGTTGAGAATTTTCTTTCTAATTTCTAGCTCTTTTTTTTTTTTTTTTCCTCCCCAGGTTAAGTTGTTAAATGTTTTAGAGAAATACATGGCAATATCTTGGGGAAAATGGGTTTGCATGTCTTGATAAATATGTATTTGTATTGGTGTCATATATCCATGTTATATTGGTATTTATATGTGGTGCGAGAAACAAATTTGTATGGGAAAAAAATTGTGAATGAAGTATTGATGGATAAAGTTAAACATTAGCAAATATTTCTTGGTATAATTTTTTTAGAATTTCCAGGCTAAATGTGCAAAGGGAAAAATGATATGATCGCCAAAGTATATTTGGTTGCTTTACATTATAATTTGACAATTGCAAACAATTTATTGAATGTAAGAACTGAATGCTTGAAATGTAGTGATACCTTAGAATCTGAAGGTTGTCGGTAGGTACCTTGCGTGGGATTTTGATGATATAGGACAAGTGGTGGATTTCCAAAGTGGAGGTGGGGCCTTTTGTGGGGGAGCTAGGGAAGGAGTTTTCAGTTCATCGAAGATCACCAGTTGATTGACTTGCCCATGGAGGGTGCTCATTTCATTTGGTCTAGTGATAGAGAGGTGCTCATTTGGTCCAAATTGGATAGATATTTGGTGTCTGGAAGTTGGGAAGAGAAATTCTCAGATGTTACGCAATTAGCCATGGTTAGACCAACATCGGATCATATTCCTATTTTGTTGGATTGTGGATGGCTGCGGCAGGGGAACTATCCTTTCAGATTTGAAAATATGTGGCTTAGTGTAGAGGATTTTGGAGATAGGGTGCATTGTTGGTGGAGGGAGTACCGGGTCCTAGGAAATCCTAGCTAAGTTTTGGCAAATATTTGGTAATTTGGAGTGGAGGAGAAATCAATCGCATAGAAGGAGAGGGTGGCCTATATGATGTAGGAAGGAGTAGAAGGGAGGAGTTTAAAGCAAAGTTGGGGAGATTGCCAGTTCAGAAGAAGTGTCATGGAGGCAAAAATCTAGATAATGTGCATAGAAGGGGTAATCATATCGGTGGGATGTGCATTGATGGAGAGATGTTGTTTACAGAGGAGGATATTCAGAAAGGTTTGGTGTCTTCTATCAGCAGCTGTATTATGGAGACCTCAATTAGATGGTTTGGATTTTGCTGCCATTTCTAAGGAGGATGGGGAGTGGTTGGAAAGCCCGCTTGTAGGTGAGGAGGTGGAAAGGGCGCGTAGGAGTTGCAATGGTGATAAGGCGCTAGGCCCGGATGGTTTTACCATGGCATTTTTCCAATGCAAACAGGAGGTGGTCAGGAAGTAGGTGATGGAGACATTATACTACTTCTATGAGCATGTGCAGTTTCAGAAAAGTTTGAATGCCTCCTTCATAGCCTTGATTCTGAAAAAGGTGGAGCTATAGAAGCTAAAGATTTTAGACGTATCAGTTTGGTGGGTAGTGTGTACAAGATCATCGCCAAAGTCCTTGCCTTGAAATTGATAGGGTGATTTTGGAGTCCCTAAATTCTTTTGTGGGAGGTTGTCAGATTCTGGATACGGTTTTGATTCCCAGAGTGTGTTGATTCTTGATTATGTAGTGGTGTGCCACGGATTCTGTGTAAATTGGATATTGTTAAGGCATACGATCATGTCTGGTGGGATTTTTTTGATTTATATGATGTTGAGGATGGGCTTTGGAGACAGGTGGAAAAGATGGATATATTTTTGCATTTCTTTGATGAAGTGTTATGTTGGTGAACTTGGTGAAGGGATCTCTGACCGGATTCTTCAGCAGTTCTTGGGGATGAGATATGGAGATTTGTTGTCTCCCTTTTGTTTATCACGGTAATGGAGGCTTTTTAGTAGAATGGTGAGGAGGGCAGTTGCTAATATTCACATTTAGGGGTTTGAGGTGGGGAGTCTTGTAGGCACTCAGTTTTGAACTGCCTCATATCCTATTCGCTGATGATACTATTGTATTATGTGATGTGAATGAATATCAGTTGAGATCTATGAGATATGTGTTGATTTGTTTCCAAGGTACAAAAATAAAAATAGACAAGAGTGAGATTGTTCCGGTGGGAGAGGTTGATAGCATTCGTGGGCTTGCAAACATTTTGGGGTGTGGTATTGCAAATTTTTGGTTCTTTTGAGTATTCATTCGTATTGAATTTGTATATTTAGATTATCACTTTTTGTTCAGTATTTCATCCAAAATTGTTGGGATTTGCTTCTGCATTGTCCTAGAGCTAGGTATGGCTGGGATTTGCTTTGTGCCGTTTTTGGGATCCAGTGAGTCATGCCCAAGTTCACAGTGAGCTTAATTGATGCTTGGGGAGGTGGTCGTGTAAGTCACCAAGTCAGATGTGTGTGGAGGACTGCCCCCTTATGCTTCTAGTGGGCTCTTTGGAAGGAAAGGAATAGGAGATCCTTTGATGGTTTGGAATCTTCTTGGGGGGTAGTTAGATTTTCTGTTCTTAGTTCCTTCTTCTTTTGGGTTCAGGGCTCTAATTGTAAACCTATGGAGATTCTTTTGTCTTTTGTGGGTAACCTGAGGCTATAGTTTGTGTAATTGAAGCTATAGTTTGTGTGTGTAGTTGTTCTGGGCCGCGTCCCCCTTTAAGGCAACCTTCAATCAATTCTTATCAGAAAAAAAAAATATTTTATATTATAGGAAAATCGTTAGTATCTCCACAAATAGTACGAACCCTTGTCTTCATGTTCCTATACATCTTTTTTGGTAACTTTAACAACATTCTTTGTCATTGTATCTCTTGACTCTCTATCATATGCCTTCTTAAGCCTTTAAAGTATATATTAATTATATATGTGTATTTTTAAGTTCTCTAATCTTTCATTAGTCGTCTTATTAAGCAAATGACCATCATAGAACCTGACATAAATTCAATTACATATGATGTTTATACTGTTTAGTATATAAACTTTGCATGCTCTAACTATATTCGTTATTACATTTATATTTACTTCTTATAATAAATGTCTCTAAATAAATTTTGTATCTTCAACTTTTAAAAGTGCTGTGCACGAGACCTGATGGAAGTGGGATGGCTATAATAGATTATTGTTCATGTTGTAGGATATTCATTGTTGCTATTGTGGTTTGTTACCAGATCTAGATTAGATGAGGAAATGCAGACAATGGGGCACCTTTTCTTCTATCTTGCTGATGAAGATGCAAATGCTTTAAGCTTGAGTAGAGATGCTTTGGACATTCGTGAGAATTCTCTCCTGGCTTTTGGATCACGAAAAGATATTGGAGGCTGGCATCTACATTTAGAATCAATGGTATGCTATCAACCATAGACATCTGATTTTTATAGTGAAAAAGTAAATAACTTCTTCCTATTTGATGTAGTAATATTGTGATTATCATTGCAGTAATATTCAACACTCTAGCAATATTGTGATCAACATTGATTACGTGCTCCATTTTAAAATCATATTCTTAAATAGTTAATAGACATGCTAAACATTCCTTCTTCGAAAAGATCTGTCACCAATTTCAAAGAACAGTTTGTCATCTAGCTTTCATTTGGAAAATCACGTGCCTTAAGTATCATCTGAGGAACTTCTTAATTTTTATGATGACTATATTTTCATACAACTTCGGAATCTTTAATAAATTTGGACATTTCCTACATTCATCACTGGATATACTGCTTTAAGATATCATCTCTTGAAGTTATTTTCTGGATGGCCCTGTCATGTGACTCATGTCATTTAAAGCTTTTCCACTTGTTTGAAGGTTTCCCGTTATTTCTGCAGTAATGCTTAAAACATTTGCACATCTTGATGCACTCCATAATAAATTGCATAAACTGGATTCAAATGGTACCGATATTGCTTGTGTACGATGTTGATGATTATTATTATATGTTGTATAATAATAATAATATATTTAAGAATTCACCTCTTCCAGACTATCACTTTTTAACCGATGCATTGCTGTGTCTTTATTGTTATGCATGTGGTTGCACACATTATATTCTTGTTTCAGAGTTTGATCTCAGCCCAGTGCTTTGCAGGATGATCTAGAAGTCCATTATTCTGGTTTCAAGTCACCTCACATTCACAATTTATCTGATCTTGTCCAGCAAGATCTTGGATCCCAAGTATGTAAGATATTTATGTTTCTGTTGTCCATCTGTTTCATGTTACACCTACCCGTATATTTCTGACATTTTCATGTCAATAGACTCAGTTGCATTTTTCTCAATGCTACATTCTTATTTATGTTGCATCATTCTGTTTTCCAGTGCGGTTCTTTCCTTGATGTTGTTTGAATGTGCATGTGTTCTCATATGTATTATAGGCAACAAAGTTTGGCCGCTTGCAGCTCTCAGACACATCGGATGATTCTCCAAACATTTTAGTTTTTCAGGTATCTGGTCAAGGATTCAGCATTTACCTGTTTCTTGACATGCAAGGCTTTCTTTATTAAACTAGAACTATAATATTCATCTCAGGTTTTTAATTCTTATATACCTTCTCCTATGCTCTTCTGATTATATGTAGATCTCTGGTAGCATTCCTTTCAAGATGGATTTTGCTTTTGTATCTGGAACTGATTTGGAAGGTTCAGGAGTTAAAGAACGTGTCAGAAGCCTCACAGGTATCTTCTGTATGGTTGGCTTTTGTGTTTGTTTTTTTGTTTTTTGTTGGGGGCTGGGGGGGTTTGAAATCGAATATTTTTTCATGTTGATAAGTTTTCAGAACACCATGGATTCATAAATTGCTGTCATGACATCCTCTTTTTAATGAGACTTCCTTATGTAGGTGTATAAGAAGCAAAACAAAGCAGGGCACTTTTAGGTTATCAAAACCAGTTCTTCAGTGTTTCACCTTCACGACACCCTAAGCAGGGCACTTCTATATTAATTTTTATGCAGATACATTGACTTCTTTTCCTGAATATGTGTAATGTTTTATTTGTTAATTTCTAAATAGAAGTTCATTGTTTCACCTTCATAACTACTTGCGATATTTCCTTCATCATTTTAGGTACCTTACTGACTAGTCAACTATTTGAGAAGCAAAATGAATTTGATGAGAAATTCAAAAGGTGCTTTAATTTGACTGATAAGGTATTGATTCATGTAAACTTCCTTCCATTCTGCTTCATCATTTTTGAGGAAAAAAAAAAAAAAATGCATGTATGAGGATATGTAGAATCATGCTGAGTTATAAATTTTTTTTTTTTTTTTTTTAATTGCCGAGCATTTGATTGTCCTATAGCCAGTGTAATTTAACGTTTAAGTGTTGGTCAAACTGGTGACTGCAGGAGTTTAATAGAACTCCTTGTTATGATTTATGCAAAAATAGTGAATGTACTCGTAAACTCATTTGAACTTGGTGAAAAATATGTCCCTGTTGACTTCATGGACTGGGGAGTAAATTTATCACATGTTGTCCTTTGCTTATACTATACATGTGTGATTTTATCTGAGAAGAGAGCAAAAATAAATGCTTAGGGTGTGTTTTGGAGGAAGAATGGCTTCTCATGGCCACTAATGCTCCGTTTGGTTGGAGGGATGGACATTTGGATAGGAGGGAGGGGGGGAGGGATGGACGAGGCATCCCTAGGGAAGGGAAAGTGACTCCTTCACTTTCTGTTTGGTTGAATTGAAGGGATGGTGTAGCAGAAATGATTGATTGAGTGACAAATTTATTTTTTTTTTCGGTTGGAAGGATGGAAAGCAGAGTTTTTATATTCTTTTACCAATGTACCCTCATTAATTAAATTGATTTGCATTGTCCATGTACCACGTTTTTCTTTTTTTCTTTTTTTTTTTTCGATAAGTGAATGTGCCACGTATTTTTGACCCTCATTAATCAGATTGATTGATGACTGATCATGCTTTTAACCATGAGTCCATGATTTCTAGCCAAAATGCGTCAAGAATAAAAAACGAGTCCATGGCCAATGAATGGGTCAAATAGGGTGGACGCAGTTGTTGGATTTGACACATCATTTTATGGAATCATTCTCAAGGCAAGAATAAAAATAATCTGCAGCAGCATTATCCAGTAGATAATATAGAGCACTTAACCAAATAACGAGAAGTACAATATCACAATTACAACAAAACAAAATTGATGAAGGTTAAAATAAATCATTTTGTAATTAAATGAAGGTTAAAGTAGGTATAACAAATTTATAGGCTAATCGCTCATTCTTTCCTTCCTCTTGTCCGCCCAAGCGTATAAGAAATTAGCTGATAGGAGCGGTTAGGAGGGACGCTTCATCCCTCCTTGCTTCCCCCCTCCCTTCCCTTCCTTCCAACCAAACAAAGCAAGCCTCTTCCATCCCTCCTCAATCCTTCCTTCCAAACAAACAGAGCATTAAAGTCAGCATGTAGCCCTATTGGTGATCATAAGACCCACTCACCATATAATTTGGCTGTATGTCACTCTTGATCTTATTACTTTTTGAAGCAGGAATTATTAAGGTTTATCTTAGTGATATTGAAAATAGTATTTTTCTGATCCTGGTGTTTTCACCTTACTGATTTTCCTCAAATCGGATCCTTAAATTAATGTTTTTGTCAGATAAAACAAAATTGTCCCCTATTCTTTCAAGATTCTGGCATCTGTTATACCGAACTCTGTATATTGAACAAATTTACTCTTTATGTTTCAGAAGCACAATTAAAGATTCTATGATTTTTTGTGCTACGTTGGTGTCTGCACATTGCAAAATAAAAGGTTTACAAATTCAATCTGATGTTTTTGATCAATTAATATTAAAAATAGAAAACAACTGCCACGTCAAAGCATTTAAGATATACTAGTGAGCATCAGCTGCCATTCTTTGGCCAAGTTGCATACTTCTGTGGTATTCTACAGCACATAGAAATACACTCATCTTTCATTTTGCATGTAATTTAAGATTTTTGACATTAACTTATGGTGTTTTCAGCTTGATTCTGAATCCATTGCCGTTGGTAAGGCTGCTATTGGAAATTTGTTGGGAGGCATTGGCTACTTCTATGGCCAGTCAAAAATCTCACTTCCAGGAAACTCTAATGTGAGTTATGTAAATTTGGAATTCATGTTCTTAATCAATTTAAATTGGTCATCTATGATCAGAATTCATTTGAAAATAAGCTATGTCCTTTCAGTACTGTACAAGTTATCCTGGTTTTGTAATGTTAATACACAGTCCAAATTGCACATCTTCATTCATTAATTCTTGATCGGTTAACTTGGTTATTTTGTCAACTTGAATAATAACTTGCAAGAACTCCCAGGTGGAATCTTGTCATGTGTGCATCAATAATTTCATACATAACAGTTCATAAATTTGAAACATGGAAATAATACTTGCCAAAAATAAGAAACTTGGAAATAGTTTCATAGACATTGGCCAAGCTTCTTCATTATTCATTTATAGAGGTGATATATCATCTATTAAATTTTCATTTTGCAGTCTTACTATGGTTGTTGAGACAAATCATGAAATGAGAAAAGTTTATGGCTTTTTTTTTTGGAAAGTAAAGTTTATGGCTTGTATCATGGAATTAGTGGAGTATGGAAAAATGAATGTTCTCTTGTTATAATCACAGATAGAATTAAGTTCTTACTTCTATATGGAATCAAATAGGCGGTTCTTCAAGTCTTATCAAACTTATGCACATGACCCATTCTAAGAAACAGAAAACATAAGCTTGTAAGATATAAGTGCACACATAAAAGCTTTTATACTGATCAGAGTAGACAGATATACAGATACATTTAACATACTCATATATGTTTAAATATTGAAGTTTACTTTTTGCAGTACTTGTCAAAAATAAAAAATAAAAATAAAAGAAGTTTACTTTTTTTTAGAATTTCAACTTATCAGTTACATAATTAAAATATCTATAATCCATATTTTGACTTCTTCTTTGTAAAGGAATAAAATACTTGCTATAAATTGTGTCATGCCTTGTTTTTCTTTGTTTCATAAATTGAAAAGGATTTCCTCTGTTTTTGTTATATACTGGATACTCTACATCTTGAATTTAATGAGATTATATAAGTTCGGCATCTTTACTGAAGAATGACAGAGTATAAACGGCTGAAGTTTTAGCTTTCACTTTGTGCTGTTCACTTTTGGTTTTTCATATTCTTTGTAGCTTGGATGTTTATAAAGGTAAGAAGAGTTGGAATAAGAGCAAAGAAATCAGAAGAATCCCTTTAAAGAGGACATGATTTATACTACATAATTATTTTCTAGAATTTTGAAACTCGATGATTGCTTCACTTTTTTTTCCTTCTCATTTCATACCTGCTTATCTTCACTTATAACCTTTACAAACCTTAAGCTGTTCAACCACATGTTCCATTTTTTCATTTGATTACTCTATATGTGTTTCTTACTCTTTACTAACAAAACTGCTATGCTTGCACTTATGAATTAATCATCATTTATTTGGATATCTGACAAAGTCATACAGTGGGCAATCTTCTCTTGCAGCTTAGAAGTGGTGATAATTTTATTTTGTATTGGCCGGCCGAGCTTTATACAGCTGTTCCTAGTCGACCCTTCTTTCCCAGGGGATTTTTATGGGATGAAGGTTTTCATCAACTACTGATCTGGTTAGTTGCCTGTTGCAGATTAGATTTATGTTCTGGTTATATTTATCTTGTGTGCATATTTTTCAGTTACCTATTTACTTGCATATTTGAGAAAAATAAGTATGCAGCTGCTTGAGTGATATGGAGCTAATTGCCAATTTTATGAGTCTAATTTATTATTGTTAGTTGCTGGTACATACATCTATATATGTTTTTCTCTTAATACTGGATAGGCGCTGGGATATGCATATTTGCTTGGATATCATTGGACATTGGTTAGATCTGATGAATGCTGATGGCTGGATTCCACGTGAACAAATTTTGGGTGCTGAAGCTCTAAGGTGATATAGAGTTATCTTTTTTCAAGCATCCATAAATGTTAGTTTGAATTCTGATTTCCTTCATTGGATTATTGTGTAACATGTATTTTGGTTTATTTTCAGTAAGGTGCCAGAGGAATTTGTTCTTCAACATTCAACAAATGGAAATCCCCCAACTTTGTTTTTGGTTTTACGTGGTAAGAATTTTTTCTTGAAAGAATTTGCTGTTTGTGTGGCAGACTCCCCCTCCCCCTCCCCCCCAAAGCACAGACTTCTCTTTTCATCATTGCATTTTAGGGATTTTGCCTGCTTCTTTCACGCTATGGAGCATCCTTTCTCTATTGAGTTGATGGTGATGCTTACATTTTTGCAAGTGTTGTATTGGCTGTCATGAGAATTTTGTTGAAATGGAGTGGGTGGCAAAGCATAATGATTTTCTTTTATCTGAAGTGATGGAAGAAAGAAGATAGGAAAGGGAGCATGCATCAAATCTCTTAAGCCTCTTGTTCACAGGGGACAAAGGAGAACGAGGAAGAAGAGACGAGAGTACTAGACAAATGGTGAGGAAAGAGGAAGAAGAGATGAGAGTACAAGAGAAACGGTGAGGAAGGTATGAAGGCGACTCCCATGCCTCTCAATTTCGATTAGGGAGGGATGAGAGAGAGACGGAGGGAGCAAAATATATATCACATTCTTTCAAATATAGACAAAATCTTTTTTTTTGATAAGTAAAAATAATATTAAAAAAGTCGTTCAAAAGGAGAATGCGTCCCAATTACAAAAGTGGAACCGGAGCTAAGGCCCCAAAGAATCCAGAAAAGTAATTAAATCATATGAAGAAGAACAAAAGCTCCACTTCACATAATTGAAGAGAGAACAAAGAATGTAAATATAGACAAAATCAAATATAGACAAAATCTTCTTAAAAAGTCTCCTAACGAGAGTCTAATTAGCATATCTGTCAACATATTTTTTTCTTATTGGCTCATATAAGACAAGCTTTTAGAGAGAGAAACAATCAAAGCATCTAGTTGGAGAAAACTTGATTTTGAATTTTGATTCTTAAGATTGGCAAGGTATTTACTTCAAGTTCAACAATATTGATGAATCTTTGAAGACCACCAAAATATTCATTCATCTCAAAGGGCATCTTGTTTTTTTTTTTTTCCCCTATAAGAGGTCTATTTATAGGCCTCAAGAATCCTATTAACATATTATTATTATTTTTAAATTAACTCTGCCCAATATGGAAGCACTACAAACCCAAATTCTAACCTTATGAAAATCTAAAAAATAAAATAAAAATAGAGCAATATTTCTTAAAAAAATATTCTGAATAAATCTTAAAACTAAAATATACCTGCTGCCATAATGTATTCTTGTTGGCCCATGCCAAACAAGACTACTGAGAAATACGTGATAAAAGCCTATGATATTAGGATGTGTCAAAGTCTGTCTGAAAAAATAAAAGGTTTTGGCTTAATACAAGGTTTCATACTCCCATATGGTAAATAATGATTTGGAGAGATTTCCTGCAAAGTAAAGTTGATGGTTTGTGGATGTGTTTTTTCTTTTATCACAATTACTTTTTTTTTTTTATCAAATGTGATTTTGTCATTCTCTTTGGTTAATGTAAAGGCAGAGAATTTTTATTTTGTAATTATATGTTGTGTTTTTATAAAAGATTTCAAAAGGAAAGTAGAAAGAAAGATGCATGTGAATCAACTCAGCTTAAGATAAAATATTAATGGGGACCAAGATGAAAGACACTGAAAATAAGTTATAGCATGAAACTCTAAAAGAATGATAGCCAAAGAATATTGTTTTAAAATTCTATACAACCAAAATCCCTCATTGTCAAATATGTGGCAGTCTCTCCTTTTATATGCATCGTATGATTGGAAATGGGCGTATCTCTGAATCGCTGGACTCCTCTTTTCGCTAGGTCTCTGGTAGAGCCCTACATTATCGACATCTTTGAGAAAGTACCAAGTTCTTTACTGTACCACTAGGCTGTAGCACATCTCATTATCAGTATGCTCAAAAGTTTTAACTGTCAATCCTACAGTGGTTTGCTTTTACCAGCCATAGTGGTGGCTAAAGTTCCACATGGCTCCATTTTTCACAGAACCTTCAAAAAATGAAGTTGTATTTCATGTTGTTACTCAGGCGACATTCTGTGTTTATAAATCATAGAATTCCCCTGATTAGGCTTTAAAATTAGGATTTGTGTTATTGGGATAAAGGTACAATCATCTGGTGAATCAAATCTTAACTCTTGGGAATTTAGTGACTATTTAAATGAGAGGGCAGGAAGATACTATATGCAAGAAACTAGGTTGTTGATTTCGACACCAATTTAACAGCATCTTCCAATTTAACTAGGTTTTTTTCTTTTTTTCATTTTTCATTTTTTTTTCTTTTTCTTTTTTTTGTAATCAAGTGGGACATAAACATCCCTTCAAAGTTTATGCATGCAAAAATAATGGTAGCTCCTCTTATGTATAAAGTAAATTTCGATTTAGAAGGGCCAAAGAAAGGCCTGTAACCTAAGTATACACAGTGTGTACAGAGCTCGCCTACAGAAAATAATCTCTATTACCAATGCTTTTTTGTTTTTTCTTTTTAATCCGATTGGCGAGTTGAGTTAATTTTATCTTTCCAAATTCCTTGTTTACTTTTCTCATATTCTGGTATGCATGATTGCCGGAGTTAAAAATCTTGTGATATTTAGTTTCTTCTTCTTCTTTTCGTTTCTGTTTTTGGTTAAATTTTTTTCTTGTTCTGTATACTGGTATTTTTTTGCATTGAAGTGTGAGAATTTTCTTTTTTCCAGATATTGTTGACAGTGTAACAATAAGAAACACATTTGCAGCCGATGAAAGCAATGAGATCTCTTCCTTCTTAGAACGGGCTTTTGGTCGCCTTGAAGCGTGGTTTCAGTGGTTTAATACTACGCAATCAGGTAATTTTGGATTTTATTGTTGTATACTTATATAGTCACCGATGCTTGTTTGCAGTTTTGCCTCACCGATTTTTGTTGTTATGGTATTGATGAACTTAATTTTCAGCACTCGCAATTTAAATTTAGTTAATTCCAATTTGGTTTCTCTTGGACACCTTATATCCAATTAGGGCCAAAGAGGTTGTTTTGAGTCTTCTTTATCTTTCCTTTCCCTGAATTCCCGTGTATTTATTTGATTTCCAAGTGTGTTTATGGACAATTAACCCGCATGTTCCTACTACATAATTGGAAATAGAAATGTTCAACAAACGCACCATGTGGACGGACACACGACCTGTCATTACTTGTCATGCCAAGTGGCTTCAAGGAAGTTGATGTTTGGTGGTTCAAGAGGGAAGTGTTGTTATCAGGCGATGGGTTTCTAGCTAACCACAGTAAAACATGCAAAACAAGACAATTATCAGCAACAGTACCTTCTTGAACTTTATTGGCTCTAGTCCCTAGCTAGTAGGTCCACGTTCCAAGAAGATAGAGCTGAAGAGATCATGGTACATCACTATCTTCTGTGGAAGAAAAATGTATTGGACTTGTTCGCATATTATTCCGCATGTTATGGATCTTGCCTATATATATTACTTTTCTTAAACAACAAATGGACTTTTCTTAGATGCCATGCGGTGTCATGACTTGTCTAACCAGGGGCCTTAAGAATGATGTCATATGGTGAACCAAGAGATTGTGCTGGTTATAGAGTGATGACATGGGACTGACTGCTTCAGCTGGTTAGAGTAAAGCATGCAAAACAATGCTAATATAAAATAATAGAACTGCCGTGGACATTATTGGCTCTAACTCCTAAGTAGTGGATTTTGAGGAGACAGGTAAAGAGATTGCTGGAAACATGCCTCTTCTATCAGATACTGGAAGTACAATGCAATGTACTCATGTCCTGATTCTATTCGAGCTTCCCACATGTGTCTAGGCCATACATGTGGACTTGCATATGTACTACTATCTCTTCTCCTCCACCAACTACAATTTTCTTCAGTCTTCCAGAGCATCGTGTATGTACCATCCTAGAACACCTACAAACAATACTCCACATTTCGATGACAATCACGCACAAAAGACAAAGATATTCTGTTTATGTCGATTTATGAATCCATTTCCCATACGATCTGCTTCTTCTGTGATTGATCTCCCTTTTTTAGCTGTCCAACAACCTTGATCTTTGTTTGTGCGATTTTGGTGTATCTTCTTCATAGCTCTTTATGTTTGATGAATAATACTCACATCACACACACACATACACACAGAGAGAAGTAAAAACTACAGATATGCTCTCTATGGACTCTATATGGATGGTAGTATTCTCTACTATATTGTTTTTGACCCCTAATGGTATTAATTTATGCTTTTGATCAGAAACAATAAGGGTTTACCATTTACATGTTTAAAACAAAGTAGGAAACTGTTTTTCGCAAGGTTCGATCGATTAAATTCACATAGAATGGGATGATTGATGGATCAGGATCAGAGGCCTTGATCCTTCAAAAAACAAAATTTTTATCTTAAAAACTGTTTATTATCATTTGGTTATGATGAAAAATATGGATGCTTAAAATACAACCCTAATTAGTTAGTTGGGTATTTGAGAGTTGCCTTTTTACTCTTACCATGATTGGGTATTTGAGAGTTTACCTTTTTACTCTTACTATGATCAACAAACTTTCATCGTCAAAATCGTTGGATGGTGTGGTAACAACTACCTTAACATAACATTTCAAAAATAAATAGAATAAAACTAACAGTACAAATTCCATCTTCTGTTTAAAAATTCACCAATATTAAGTGCTAATGACCTAACACTAACTCTCCATTCTCTCTTTATTTCCCTTCCATGAATATTCTTGTATTTATTAGACTTCCCGGATGCTGATCCTTTTTATTCATTGATCTTTAGTAATCAACAATCACACAGCATTATGGTAGCACTTCTTTACTTATGCTTGTCCTATCCCAATTTCTTGGGCAAGGTCGTAATTATTCTCATCATAACAATGTGATCATCCAGCCTATATAAGAGTAAATAATTCGTTATGATTTTTTGGGTTTCAACTTTTCTCTCAATTTGGTGGATGAAGAAGAGCATTTCAAATTTATGTAAGGATGTGCAAGATATAGTTAGTCTTTGCTACAATATGTATGCTACCACCCTGACATGAACCAGGTGTTATCATGGTGCAGAATACCATGCGAAGTCCACCAAAATACTTCTTGTCTAGGCTGAAGAAATAATGAAAGAAACCACTGTCCTAGCAACCATGACCATTTTAGACTCCTTACAGTCAAATTTCTACTTGAATTTTTCCATCCAGACAGACCCAATGAGAGTTTTGAAGAACCAAGAGGGGAGGGGTGAATTGGTTCTTGTTTACTGTTTTTTCAGTCTGTCACACACTTGATAAACTAAATAAACAGCAAAATGTTTGTACAACATGCACAAAGATCATACACCAGGATGTCCGTGGTAAAACCCCAAAGAAACTGGGGAAGCATCCACGAGGCTGTTAAGCCCGATCAACAATCCACTATGTTGAAAAATCAGTACAATGCACGTCTCAGCAGTGTCTCGCGCTCTGCACTCACCACACTTTATTGTGAACCTCTCCCTGTTCATTACAGTTTCTTTCCATTACAACACAAACACTCAACTCACAAGAATGCAATAGGATTCAAAACAAAAAATACACAAGTATAGGAATTATGCTTAGAGTGTACAGAATTTGAAACAGTAGAGCAGTTTCTTGGTTCTGCAAACAGCAGCAGTTGAATTTCAAGAATCAGTTTGTGCAGTAGGCTCAATAAGTGCTTAATTCTGCTCTTTCTGGATAGTGTGTAGCAAATGAAACTTCTTTTCAGCTCCAGAACACACCAATGAAGCTTCAAGGTAGCTGGTAGGAATATATTAGTAGGCTGCTGCTTGCACAAACAGATCACTATATCTGCTTGAACCAGAAAGTGAGGCTAGAATGGATTATGCTCATACGAATGGATTAATCTCAGCATAATTTCAAAATGAAGTTTAGCTCACTCTCGGATTTTGATACAGCCTTTTGTCTCTTGGATTTAACTCACATCAGTAGAATTTGCACACATAATGCTTATGACAGCATATATAGACAAGATGTCTCAGGAGAATATCGCTGTTAGAGAGAATATGCCAGGTGGTGTCCTATATGGTACAATTACGTACAATGAACTGTTAGATATAAAGTAGCTATTAGAGCATAAATGACAGAACCGCCCCTTGTACTAGACTGCCCTTATAAATTTAAAATTAAAGCAGAAGCTGCAAGGGCAAACTGGACTTTTAGAATGATGACAATGATTTTTCTTGAAGAATTCCTGTTGGCGATTATTCTCCTGACATGCTGCAAAAGGACAAATATGCCCTTTGAGGGCTGTAAGAGTAGTACAGAAGAATTTGAAATTTCAGCACTGGTTAATTCAGTCAAAATTGAATTTCTGTTGATTTGACATTAAAATAGCAAACCTAACCAACGGGCCAGTCCCCTAGCGGTATCAGCCTCTTACTTCCCAAAGGGAGGTGAGAGGTTCAAGTCTCAAAAGAGACGTGTGTGTGAATACCAACTAGGAAAAAAAATATATAGCAAACCTTAGGCAGGACATAGTTCAACAAGTTTCTGCAGACCAACCTTTGGAGACTCTTCCTCTGTCAATATAAGAAACTCTCTAACAGTGTTTGGAAGTGCTCAGAAAAAATCACAATTAGATTAAGCAATATATAATGTATGGATAAAAACCAAAATTTCCACAATTGGATCAGGTGTTAGGGTACAGTCCACAATTTGGTTTAATTCTATGGATAAAAACTGGATCTTGAGGATACCAAGCTAATTTTTTTCACAAGTTTGTCTAACCATGGTTCTAGACTTCCAGCAAATGATCCACCATATCCTGCTCCCTTCTTGAAGACTCCTTCAGAACACTGGGGACCAAAAAAAACCATTAGCTAACATGCAAATGATCATGGACCTTGGCAAGGTGATTGAATGTTCATCAATGAAGTATTTGTAGAATCATCTGCTTGCACTCTTCTTTAAATGCAGATAAAAACCAGTACTGTTGACCCTGATATAAGATAGTCTGAAACCTAGAAGAATTCAGAAAATAACACAAATATAAGAGGGATATTAGTTCTAAAAAAATTGCAAGCATAACCTGAAAATCAATCAGATTATAATAAAGAAAATGGAATATGAGTAGTCTCTGTTGCATTGTAAGCTGAGTATAAGAAATACTTTCATGGACAATATTTTTTTAACATATCTACATGTCGAATTCATAAGGTTAGTGACATTATTACCAACAACTATGAATATGCCTTCTGAATACTCCACTGAATAAACTCATCAAATGTTTGACAATTCATATTCCACCCATAGCAAGAATCAAACCACTTCCAAATAGTAATAGCATGCATACATTCAAAGAACAGGTGTTGATTGCTTTCATCATTTTGGAAGCAGTTATGACATGCTGCTGCAGTAGACAAACCTCTCTTCTGAAAATTAACAAAAGAGGGGTGCTTATTATGCAGGACAATAAAAGTAGTGAAATTAATTCTAGGCCTGGTTCTGTTCCAGCATACTTTCACTGTCTTGTTATGCCAATAATTTTATAACATTACTAAATTATAGTTGAAAAATCAAGTATTCCAGTAAAAGTTTCTTGGCGGCTATTTCTCTTATCCAGCCTTTTTGTAACTTGGATAAACCTCGTGTATATCTGATTGCACATTGTAGACAGCTAACACAAACTGTTGAGTCAGTCTTCTGTAAACATGAATATCAAATATGCGAGTAAACTTGCTAAAATTCATGTTGAAGTGATAAGATGGCTTTGTTGAGTCAGCCTTTTTATAGGGAACGCTAAAGCTGTTGCCAAAATAGGATTACCTTTTTACAAATTCTGTAACTCGCATTGCATTTTCTAGTTAAAAACCTATTTTTTAAAAGTTTGGAGAAGCTCGAGTATTTTAATATGCTGACATGCTGATTTTGATTGAGTATTACAAATAATTTAGTGTTTTGATTCACAGGCAAGGATATTAGCAGCTATTTTTGGCATGGACGTGACAACACAACAAATCGTGAACTAAATCCAAAGGTTCTTTTTCACATCTGAAATAATTTCCTGAAACTAAAAAGGATTTTTTTACTTTATTCCTATACGATAGGCTTCCGCAGAGGCAAGGTGTAATTTTTAATATTGGGCATCATGTGTAATATGAATTTCAAAGCAGTGTCATATAGTCAAAACGCTAGGTAGTTGTGCACCGAGAGTCAAGACACACTGTAAGCTTTGAGTGTGTCGCTGATGCATTCATGTCTTTATTCTTGATATAAAGTTTAAAATGTCCTTCTTTGACTGTCAATATATGCTTGCCTTCAGAATTTATCGTGCTGTACTATACCACATGGAGATGAATCTCATATAGGTTACTTCAGTTTTCCACTGCTGCTTGGCTGTTTAAGAGTTTAGCTCATCCTTAATGGTCTGAATGAGAATCCAGTAACTCCATAACTTGACTGTTCAAGCAGAGCTTAGTTATGCATGGTTGGTTGGATTGATATGCTGTAATTAATTGCTTAATTTGCTTGTTTTATATTTCTGTAATTTGTAAATCCTTAGTTTCAAGGATTGAAGGTCCAATGGGGTATGATGCCAATAAAGATAGGATGGATTGTCGGTAATTGTGACCTGCCCAATAGTGAAATCTTGCAAATTAAGCGAAAAACAGCTCCCATGGAAAGTACACAATGGAAATGTGCAACCACATAATTAGTACATCACTTAGATAATGTTTTTAAAGGAAAATGAACTGGGACCAGGGGCATCTAATAAGATATGAACTTGAAGAAAAATTGTAAGAATAATGTTTCTTTTTTATTTTGTTTAGATTAGTCATTCTAAACAAATCCTTCATACTTTTTTGTAATGAATGCATGTGGGGTTTCTGTGATGTTGCCCAAATTTGGAGCCGGGTCACAATGAATGAGCTTTGTGTGGACCCAAGCCCACCAATGCTCAGGGGTTTCGGGGGCTTACCCCGAGGAAAAGTTTTGACCCGTTTTTGCTTGTGAGTCGTGGATCCTAATTAGTTTTCTCTTGTAGCCCGTAGCGCGATATATAAGAGCGTTTAGGGTTTGGAGTGGATATTGAGAGATTGAAAATCGCAGAAAAGAGAGTGGGAACGAGAGTTAGGGTTTAGGCGTTGAAACTAGGGGTGGCAATTGGGTGGGTTTGGTCGGGTTTTGAATGGGTTGGGTATGAATGGGTCAGTAACCCATTCTCAAACCGCCAATGGTGGGTCATAAATGGGTGGGTCAGAAACGGGTCAACCCGGTTTTTTTGTTTTTTTTTGTTTTTCCTGCAAACTGGATCTTTTGTGATGGCAAGCTTCTGCTATTGACTTCAACTGTCAACAAATTTAAAATGACAAACAAAACTTCTTTCTGTTTTTATTAATCCTCAAACAAAGTTTCTTTGACTACCATATTAAATTGAAAAAGACAAAGATTAACTTAATTCGATAAATGGTTTTAAAAACTCATTACCATGGAAATGAAAAAAGGGGTACGGTTTTGTCTGTGTCAAATGTTAAAAAAGATTGCATTGAATGATTGTGTCCTCAATTTCTATGTATGTACATGAAAAAGTTGTGCCATAATTTTAACTTCTCAATTAATAATTGAAATATAAAAAAATAAAAATAAAAAGTAAATAAATAAAACACACACACCAGCATGCCCAAAGGAAATAATAATTAAAAAAAAGACATTTTCATTCGTTGCATAAAATATCAAATCATTCTCTCTCTCAAATCATTGTTTCTTTCTATGATCATTTTCAGCTTGTGCATCAATGTGGTAAGTTTTTACCTTCAAATGTACGAGTCATGTCAATATTACTGAAATGTTTTGTTTTGTTTTGTTTGTCTTTTCTATTTTTTTTTCTTATTTTTAACTAACTAACTAACTCCAGTAGTTTATTCCAATTATTTTACTTATCAGAAAAAAAAAAAAAAAAAAAAAAAAAAAAACTAACTCCAGTAGTACTTTTCCATGTGTGTGTGTGTGTGTGTGTGTGTGTATGTATGTATCCCCAGTTTCAAAGTTTGGGCGGGGATCTCAACCGGGTTTGGCCCTCAGTAGTTGTTAACAGGCCAAGCACTAGATTCTGGTCGTACGAGTGGAGGATGGCACATGTTCATATATATATATATATAATAAAATTATATTATTGTTGTATCATTGCCGTATCTGTGCCTTATTTTTTATATAAATTTATATATATAGAAAGTTGAAGAGTGAGGCAAAGAGAGTTATCATTGGGATGAAAAATAAATAAATAAATAAAATAAATAAATAAATAAATAAAATCCCGAAAGGGCCCCTGTTTCCACCTACGTATATAGGATATTTTAAAAAGTGAGCATCTTTCTTCATAGCGGGGTCTAGGGAAAGAATAGGAAAGCTGATTTCACTATATTTCTGACCAGGAATGGGGCCTATCACAAGAATATTTTTTTTATTGGGGCGATAGCTCTGAAAAGATAGATTGCCTATCTTTTCTTTCATCTCAGGAGAAATATGATCGGGAGGCGCTAGTTCAAACCCCTCAGGTAAAATTAGAATAGCCCCAACATTCAAATCCCCCCTTTTACCATTAGCAAGAACTTGCTTCAGTTGCATATCACTCTTAACCCGCCATTGACCCTTGAATTGTATACCCACTTTCTTTTTACCCATTACTGACCCACTCACTTAAATTTGGGAGCCCAAATGATTTAATTTTAGTGGGCGGGCTTGGGCAGTTTAATGGGTGTGGGCATAAATTGCCACCCCTAGTTGAAACTTGTAATCTTTAGATTTTTACATAGTGAAAATTTTTGCCAGATCTTCACCGTGGATGTAGGTTTTGCGGAACCACGCTAAATCTTTGTGTGTGGTGTGTTTACTTTCTGGCGTGGTTCATGATTGTTGCTTAGGTTCTCTGCGTTTGTCGTAGCAATTTCAGATATCAGGTCCAATCAATTTTGGTTGTTATAGCTGAATACTATTGAGTCTCCCAATGGATTTATTTAGGTAATATGTTCAAATACTATGTAAATTGTAAAGCTTAATAAATTCTCATAATTTGTATAGGAAATTAATTATCGCTTGAACGAACCAAGTCTTCTAGGAAATTCTTGCAGATTACAAGAGGAGCTTCACCAAATCTTGCTGTTAACCACCATCTACTCTAAAAGCTTACATTATTAGAGAGGGTTTAACTTTTTAATTATTAGGGTGACAGTGAGTTTTGAACTTAGGACCTTACCTTCTCTGATACCATGTTAACAACCATCTACTCTAAAAGCTTAAGATGTGGAGAGGGAGTAACTTTACTATTTAACTACTTCAACACCTGTGAAGCAGCCTCATACGCTACTCCCTTTCCCAATCGAAGAGTTTGTTATCGTGGTTCTTGTTGAGGTACATGTAGCAGCAATTTATACCATTGACGTAAATTGTGTCTCATAAAAATTCAGTATGGACATAGAGAACGTAGACCCGTTGATGCACTCATAAGAAAGGGAAGATTGCATCGATGGTAGGAGACTTCAAAAACTAACATAGAATGAAGTAAATAAAACTGACTTCAAAATAATTAAATATTAAAGGAGACATGGTGTATAATAGAATAAACTCGAATGAAAATTAATTTGGACAACCCCATCCATTTCGAGAAAGGCATGCATGATGCTAAAGAAATTGTAAAATAAGGCTCAACTCGACTCAAAACTTGTCATGTATGCTCCGTGTTAGCCCCTAATCATTTAATGTATTAAATTAAGGGATAGGCAACTGAAGCATTTTTTTTCTTTCACTTTTCACCTTTTACACACTTTGACTTGTTTTTGCAATTTTTCTTTTACTGCCATTGTCAATGTTAAAGGGCTAGGGCTAGCCCAGTGTATGAGGCTCCTGCCATTGCAGTCTGGGGAGGGTCATATGTATGCAGCCGTACCTCCACATGGAGGTTGTTTCCGGTTTCGAACATGTGACTTCTAGGTCACAATGGAGCAACCTTACTGTTGCACCAAGGCCCACCCTCATTGTCAATGTTATGATTAGGAAAATATATATTCATCAAACAAACTAATGATTGTGCTGTTTTGTTTAAATTGTTATTGGGATTTCCAGACACTGTCCTCCGGGTTGGATGATTATCCACGTGCATCTCACCCTAGTGATGAAGAACGTCACTTGGATCTTAGATGTTGGATGCTTCTTGCAGCAGATTGCATGCATTCTATTTCAAAGCTTTTTAAGAAGGAAAATGAAGTGGGGAAGGTATGATACTAAGAAAAGATATCTCTGCATATCAGGACTAATCGATTTCAATAATATACCTGGAAATTGAACCAATGCAGGAGTACAGTTTGACAGCTAAGCAACTATCGGATTTTGAAATTCTAAATCAGGTTTGTGCAAGATTATTATGGTTTCAACTTTTCATTGTTTCTATTTTGTGATTAGTAATATTTTGGTAGCTTGTTATTATATGAATGATTCTCCAGTGCCATCACTGCTATATGACTTTTCATTCCCAAAACTAAAGAAATTAAAGAACAGAAAAAGTAATATCAATATGGAAATATGATTGAGGTTTCTGTAAGTTCAACTAAGCACTCGGGTAGTCATTTCTATGAAGTAGTTCTATATTATCTCAGATGTGCTTAATTTTTTCTCCAGATGCACTTTGATGATTCGTATGGAGCTTATTTTGATTTTGGAAATCACACAGAAAAGGTAATACTGCTTGTCCTATGATGTACTCCACACAAATTGCACAAACAATTCCTCGGTATATTTGAGCAAAATCTTCTTTATGCTTGTCCTATGATGTACATTGTTACCATTTCAAGGAATTGATACTATCATAACTTTTATTCCGAACTGAAAATTTATTTAGCTCATATATTTGGTGAGAGTTTAAACCAGGCTCATCTGTATGTTCCGATATTGCCAAAGATCATGTACTTATTGAACTTTTGAGAAGCAACTTTGTAGATTGCTGATATATTAAGGAGAGTTTGAATCCCAAGCTAACAGTCCAGCGTGTTTTATTTTTGTAATATTCAGCTTAGAGGGATTACATTTCGTTTAGAGGTCATTGTAAGACTTCATGCTTCACTTTTTTCCCCTGAATTTGTGGAAATATACTTCGTGCTTCACTTTCCTCTAATGATTCATAGAAGCTTTTCATTAGGATTAGATTTTTAAAAATAATAATAATAATAAATAAATGAAAAGCATGCTATTGCCAAAAGAAAGAAATTATAAAAAATATATATTATATATATATGTACCACAAAAATTATCATGTTCTCATCACATTTTTATTATAGTAGGATGAATGGGTACGGAAATTAAGAAAAGGTGAGTCCATTGTAAAGTGAAGACGGGAGGGTGGTCAAAAAGGTCATTTCAGTGTTTAGGAAGATTAACAGCTAGGATACGGAGAAGAATGTCTTGGTTGTCACCTAATATTCTCCGGATAGAGCTCAATGAACATTATTGACCTCGGTTTGATGAATGAAATGATTGTGTTCTTCAATGACTACATATTCGAACTAATCTTGAGAATTTTAGAAATAATGATCGAACAAATGTCATTATCACTCCTAGTTAGGTAGTTCTATCGCAAATTATATAAGTTCATGGGTGTCTGCTGCTGCTTTGGGACTCTTTATTGTTTGCAGTTTTATCTGTTCACCGTTATTTTAGTTTTCATTCTTTTTGGTCATCTAGAACCTGTACTGCGATTTCTCTAGGTAGTGGTATTCAGATGAGTCCATAGAGAGCATTCACATTTTGCTTGATTGCCCAAAACATTAGATGTCTGTCAAGCATTAAGGAACAGTCTTCTTGCATTTGCTTGTAATATTAGTATTCAAAAAAATTATTTAATCCTCTCAGGTTCGTTTGAGTTGGCAAGCAGTAAAGGGAAACAACAATTATCCAAGTAGAGAGCTTGTTCGAGAAGTTCTAGAAAAGCCAAAGCTGAGGCTGGTTCCTCATATTGGATATGTTAGCCTTTTCCCATTTATGGGAAAGATCATTCCACCTGTAAGTTGCATTTAAGATCCTTATTATTGAAGGAATCTTTTTTTTATTTATTCATCTGTGCTTTTGTGTTTGTAACCCTCACACCATGGTTGTATAAAGTTCCTTTTCTAATTCTCACCGCCTCCCCTTTTCAAGTTATTTTCAACTTGTCACAGTTCATATCAGATCCTTAACATTTGTTAATTTACATGTAGGAATCTTGGATTCTAGAAAAACAGCTTAATCTGATTTCGAACCGGAGCATTTTATGGACTGACTATGGGATCCGCTCCCTTTCCAAATCAAGGTGATGAAAGTACTTTTCTTGCATATAATACAGTTGCTCAATTATACTTATGCATACTCCATGTGTGTGTGTGTGTGTGTGTGTGTGTGTGTGTGTGTGTGTGTGTGTGTGTGGTGGTTTATTCTGCAAGTAATCGTATGTATAATGTATTATTGTACACTGCAGCTCAATATACATGAAGCACAACACAGAGCATGACGCACCATATTGGAGAGGTCCAATATGGATGAACATGAATTACATGATTCTCTCTTCACTCCACCATTACTCTAAAGGTACGTTGACAGATATCTCCTGGAGAATACCATGCTTTATATGATGTTTAAACCCGCGTCAATTCCTGCAGAAGAGGGACCATATAAAGATAAAGCCAGGATCATCTACAATGATCTGAGGAGTAATTTGATAAGGTATTATTCATGTATCTGTTTACAATTATAGCTGATCAAATAGTGCCTAACTCTCACACGGAACTCTCAAGTAAACTCAAACAATTCTATTGTGGCAGAAACGTGGTTCGTAACTATAATCAAACCGGGTTTTTCTGGGAACAGTATGATCAGAAAAGGGGGAAAGGAAAAGGTACGCGCTCATTTACCGGTTGGACATCGCTTGTGTTGTTAATCATGGCCGAAGCTTATAGTGAATGAGTGCTCGGAGGGCATGTGAATTTTGTATTTACCTACCTCAATAGGAATGCTGTATCATTTATTTGTCAAATTCATGTTATTGGTGTAGCTGGGGTTCCCCCATTTTTCGGATTTATTCGGGGATTATGAAAATTTGTAAAGAGAATAAAAGCAGGAACAGCACCCCGGTACGGGACGTAAACAATCTCCGAAATGTACTTATGATGGTTCATAAGAAAAGGGATGGGGCATGCATGACTTTGTTAATTTTCTGCTAGTTATTTTGCAGAGGATTGAATTCTCACTCGGTCACTCCCATTCTGTTTTCCTGAAGAACGGTGAGAAGAAAAGCCATTTAATTATAGTTAATTCATATACAACATATTTAACATCACTAAATTGCCATTTAAACAAGCGGATAAATCTTTATAGTTGATTCATATACACTCACTCTAACATAACAAGGTCAAATTTATTTATTTTTATTAAAAATAAAATAATTTGGAGAACCATTTATGTTTTTCATTTCATGTTATGGGTTTACGACCAATTGAAGTGGATTGTGCAGACCGGTTATATAGAAAAGAATGCATGTTGAATTGATTTGATTAGACATCCAATTCTTGAATCGGAATCCGCAATGGTTTCCATCTTTTATTTATTTATTAGGGTAAAAGGCAAAAAATCTTTCTGAATTATTGGCTAATATACAACAAATCCCCCGAATTACAAAAGTTACAAGAAACCCCCTAAACTATACATTTTTGTGCAGGTAGCCCCATCCGGGAAAAAACCGGTTGAATCTCATTGTTAAAATTTTAGGTGACACACAATATACTATGACTATAATACCCTTATGAAGACGAAAAGACTCTATTACCCCCACCACAACACTCAAACCTCTCTTTAACTTTGTTACATCCAAGCACAACCTTATCCTTCCATCTATATATATATAGAGAGAGAGAGAGGGATATATATATATATATATATATATATATATATATATATATATATATATGTTGTTCATCATCTTCCTGATATAAATTAGAAAATAAATAAATAAATAAATATAAAATAAAATAAAATAAAATCTTGCTACAGTCAAATTTAACCTTGTTGGCCAAACTGAACCCATATATGTGTATATATAGATAGAACCACGTGCGATGCACATGATTATAACTTAATCATATTTTGAGATATAGTAAAATAGTAGAAAAGTCTATAATGGGATTAAAATAATTCAATAAAAGTAGTAAATTAATTTGGTTTATTCAAAATTTTAAGTTATCATTGAATCATTCGTTCGAGTAATATGTGATTATTAATCTCAAAGATAAATAAGGATTTAAAACTCACTAATTCAATCCTCTTCATACTTTTCATCATCTTCAAAATCTCTTTATGCAAAATTTTATACAAACCCCAATATTCTTGCGGTATTTATTATCGAACAATTAAAGAATATAATTTTATTTCGCAAAGCAATGAAAAAAACTATTGAATCAACTCTACAAGAAATTTATTATATAAAATCATATGATGTATTTGAATATAACAATAACGTTTAAAAACACTACATCATGACCAAACATTACTTGCAATAAAAATTTAATAATTATACCTATATGTCGTATATCTATTTTGTTTTTTTTTCATATATGACTGAATAAAATACAATATACATGATAACATATTATGTATATAGAGACCTATATAGTTGTTCAAACAAAGTTGAAATTTATTTTTGCAAACCATTAAAATTCATCGAGAGTACGTATGTAAGAGGGTAGTAGATTTATGTAAAAAGAAAGAATATATGAAAGATAAATGAAAGGTTAAAAATAAATGAAAGATATTATATAGACTAAGTATTACGATTTATTCGTACATAGAATCTATAACTGTCAACCGTCTCGTTTCTGTAAAAGTGTTTGCTATTAAAAGTGTTTCTAAATTCATAAAAGGTATAAGATGCACTTATTTATTTGTAGTGCACTTACAATGTTGGAGAAAAAGTTTTTGTAGAGAAGAACATAAAATGAAAGAGTTTTTTTTTATTTTATTTATAAAATATAATAACTCCTCATGTAATAATTATGTATGAAACAATATAAATATATATATATGATTACATAGAAAGACAAAATATATAAATTGTTCTTTAATTCAAATTTAAACATACCTTTAAAAAATTTTTTTTAAGGGTTTTGAGTTGTAATCTGATGTACATAAACCAAAAGAATGAGAACATCATGAATAATTCTGAATTATGGTCAACAAACTTCACATAATTAAGAAACATAATAGGAAAATAAAATTCAAACATTGTATCCTCAAAAACAAAAATATAAATAACACAAAATACAGATTGAAACATACCTTAAGCCAAAATTGGCCTTGACTTATGCGCTTCAACCAAATACTGACTTTTGAAGTAGAGTTAGATAGTAAATGTTGAAAGAAGAGATAGGTAGAAGAAGCAAGAGGGGTAGAAGAAGCGAGAAAGGTAGAATGAGAGAGGCAAGATCTAATCCGCCGATTATATATAAGGTTCTTCAGACACCAACAACCGAGTAGACATGAAAGAAGAAGATGTGTCGATTTCATTGATATTGTTTCGAAACAATGGAAAAAAAAAGGAATTTTTTTAATTTTTTTTCAAAGAAGAAGGGGATAAAAATAAAATAAATAAAATAAAATACTGAGTAAACATGAAAGAAGAAGACGTGTCGGTAACATGGCAGTGTTGATAGTATTGGCATTGGTGAAAACATTGTGTTACTGGAAGCAGCAACTCTTACAGGCGGAGACTATGGGGGAAGGTGATTGTGGCGGCAATTGCAACAAAAGAATATTGGTGGCAGCACAATGGTTACGTGGTGGCTAGGATGGTGGTGAGTGAACCAATGTGAAAAGGATGAATCAAAATGTAGTTTAGACAAGATGCAAACTTTAAGATTTGTAGTTTGCTCTCAAAATCCATTGAACACTAACTTTGCATGAAATATTATTCCTCTGAAAATGAATTTTCAGCCCAGGAACATCTTTGTTAGGTAACTTACGCATCACATATAAAATGTACTTCAATGTACGACAAATGTCAGTGACAGCATCATGACAGTACCATTAGTGCCACAAATTTCACAAAGCTAACCACTAACCATGAATGCACACCTTTCTAGTGTCAAAAATGTGCCCAACAAAAACAGTTGAAGAATTCAAAGAATACAAAACATAACGTTTTGAAATTCATTTAGTCACAGGAAAAATAAATAATAAATAAATAAATAGTAAGGTTGAGCAGCTGTCGGCATGTGATCATTTAGATAGAAAGATAAAATATATAAATTGTTCTTTTACTTCAAATTTAAACATACCTTTAAAAAAAAAAAAAAAAAATTAAGGGTTTTGAGTTGTAATCTGATGTACATGAACCAAAAGAATGAGAACATCATGAATAATTCTGAATTATGGTCAACAAACTTCACATAATTAAGAAACATAATAGGAAAATAAAATTCAAACGTTGTATCCTCAAAAACAAAAATATAAATAACACAAAATACAGATTGAAACATACCTTAAGCCAAAATAGGCCTTGAGTTATGTGCTTCAACCAAATACTGACTTTTGAAGTAGAGTTAGATAGAAAATGTTGAAAGAAGAGATAGGTAGAAGAAGCGAGAAAGGTAGAATGACAGAGGCAAGATCCAATCCGCTGATTATATATAAGGTTCTTCATAAATTAACAACCGAGTAGACGTGAAAGAAGAAGACGTGTCAGTTTGATTGATATTGTTTCGAAACAATGGAAAAAAAAGAATTTTTTTTAATTTTTTTTCAAAGAAGAAGGGGATGAAAAAACAAAAAACTGCCGAGTAAACATGAAAGAAGAAGACGTGTCGGTTTGAACAATTGAAAAAAAGGAATATTTATTATTATTGTTTTTTTAAAGAATGTCTTAAGCAACGTACGTACGAAGAAAACTGTAAAAATCGAAAACAACATATACGTTTTTTAAAATGGAAACAACGCTTATAAAATATTGAAATCAAGTATATATTATTATTATTACCAAAAAGTGTAAAGGAAAACTGTTTTGTTTTTTTAAAATTCTAAATTTAAAACTGATGGTATAAAATAAATATATTTATCTTTAATATATATTTTTTCTAAATAATTATATTACCATTTACAATTTTTTTAAGAGCACAAACTTCTTCGCAACCAGCAAATGAGTACATCGTCTTTCCAAACGGCATATTGTTGGGTACAAGTTGCAACAGTTAGGAACATTCTTTTTTAATTTAAAATTAAATAATTAGTAAATGATAAGTATTTTACAAAAAAAAAAAATCACAATTATTCATTAGAAGATAACTTTTAAAGATTTATTAGTTTAGAGTTAAGGAAGGTGGAAACAAATAATACAATTGGAGTGGAGAGACATGTTATAAAAAGAAGAGGTCAATTAAATATTTAAAGAGTATTTTGAGTAAGAGTCTGACTCTTTGAATAAATTCTACATGAGTTACAAGAATAAATATCAGTAGTCAAGTAATATAAAGTCCAAGAAGAATTTTTGTTAAATAAGAAGTCTTATAAAATAGAGATAGACTCAATGTCTAAGTATGTAATGTGAGGAAAACTGTGTATACGATATTTATAAAATATTGAAAAAAGTGTATATAAAAGTTAAAAATAAAATAGAAACAACACTTTAAAAATTAAAATAGAAAGTGTGAAAATAGAAACGAACGCATTAAAAATAAAAAATAAAAAATGTGAAAACCGAGACGATACTTATAAAAAAGTGTATATAAAAATTAAAAATACAACACACTTTTATAGGGTAAATAGATATATATATATATATATCCATCTCACTCATCTCTCTCATTCTCCCTGTCTATATATATATATATATTTATAGGACATACTTGTGATTGCTGAGGAATAATCAAACAATCGAAGAAAGAGAACGGAGAGATCGAGCGATGATAAAATTCAATTACTCTAATTGAGTCCAATTACAGGGCATTCAAGTTTTGGGTTGCAAGAATAGGAGCTCTTGTGGCCGCGCGAATTGATTGACTGAAAGGGACGATGAAGCGATGATGAAGCAGAGGAATCTGTTGTTGGGATCGGAGTGGTGGATGTCGTCTGAAGAGTGGATTTCCCTAATACAAAATTCTTGATGCTGATCAATCCAAACACCTTGTAACCTACCCACACACCAAACACCACGTCTCTTCTCTTTGTCGTCTCTCACACTCTCACTGTTTATCTACACACACACACACACACATATATATATCGTATCTCCTCAGTCCTCACTGAACCTCTCTCTCACTATTTGTATATACACACACACATTAACTATGAAACTTAGCTTAACCCAATTTCCGCCACTCTATATCATCCAGCATTCTTCATGCCCCATGTTCAAATCAAGCATGTAACTGTGTAAGAGGAAAACATTGTTCAATGCCAAAATCAGTTTTTGTGATTAAATTTATATTCTGGTTACATCCTTCTCAAAACACAAAAATCCTTTTTGTTATAAGAAAACAGAACAAAAAGGTTAGGACGAATTGCACAGGTGAATATAGGAACTATAAGTGATCAGTTTCATTGTTGGGCTTTGAGAGGGATTGTGGTGGTTCAATGATAGTGGCTTTTGAGGACTACCATCCATTAACTTGAGAGGAAAAAAACAAAAAAAAAAAAATTCTGCTGTTTGTATATTGTATGTATATATGGAGAGAGACAACCTTATCTTTACTACTGAGTTGTCACGATTTTATTGGCCTTTGAGATTTTACTTTACAAATCAGCAAGTTCAGTCTATAAACCCTTGAAACTGTGTCGTTTTTTATAAGGGCACCATGGTCTTTTGAATTTTCTGGTACCGGAAGGTGAGCTGGCTGGGTAAAATGCAAAAAAATATAGTTCAAGGAGGTTTTTTGTAATTCGGGAGGGTTTCTTGCAATACCCTAATAGTTCATAGGGGTTTCTTGCACTTTACCCTATTTATATTATTTATTTTTTTGGTTCACGATCATGGTATCAGGCTTCTTAGAGCACTTAATAATTTATCACCGGGTACATGTTTTTCCCCGTCTCACATGCACTAGGTAACGACTAACAAAATTCTCTAGGAGTAGCTCTACGGGAATTTGAACTGTCGACTTCCAAGATGGGGCCATATGTTGTCTCCCGTCCTACATGCATTAAGCAATTAACAAGAAAATTATCTGAAGTGGCTCGAAGGGAATTCGAACTAATGACTTTCAAGATGTGAGGTAAGAGTTTTTGTCGTTAGGTTAATTATAGCATCACATCTATCATGGATAGGAGAGTGTCGGAATTTTTTTTTAGATCCCCAATTAAATTTTAGGGTACAAACTCTCTTTCAAAACATCATTGATATTGATGTGTCAAAAAAACATGTCTCCCAATTTAGAAATATAGTAAGAGCTCTTTTGGAATTGCCTTTAAGCATTGTAAAAATACTTTTATTTTAGGGAAAACAACATATAAGTAGACTTAGTGCCCTTAAATAACAAAATAGTCTAATTTTAAAGTTCATTTTTCAATTTAATTGAATTAAACAAAATAATTACAAATACATCAATAAGTATTGTTAAGGTCCAAAACACCCTCCAAACTCTTATTCTAAAATACCAAAATATCCTTAGAGTTATATAATTTCAAATACCAAAAGTCAATTAAGAAACTTTCGAATCTTGACTGTGGATCCTGTGTTTGGAAGGAGCCTGAGTGAAGAAAATCAAATCCATTGCAACAAGCATGACAAATGATTTAAGGAGTATCTTACAAATCCAAATTTATTTTACACGACATTTTCTCCCTCTTTATATGTACTATTTACATGTTTATACATATACTTTTGAATTTCCTTTTATAGGTGGAATAATATTTGCTTGTTCTGAAGTAAGAAAGACGCTTTGTTTATAAATATGATATTTTAAGATGTATTTGTCGTATGTCTGGAGAAATTGTAGAAGGTTGCAAATGAATTGTTTGATTAAATACTCAATTGAAGAAATAAAACATTTTTTTGAAGACACAAAACACTATTTTCAGATAAATTTGGGATCAACTATAGATGTTTAGGGATCAAGTTGTGATACTTGTTCTTAATTTTCAGATAGATTTTCACTATTCAATGAGACTTTCTCTCTGTTCAATTAGATCCGTCTTATTTCAAATTTTTCTGAATTTTTTTATTTTTCTGAGTTATATATGTGATCATACTGGGTATAGATTAATTGACCCAAGAACCAAAATTTTTAGTTTATCCTTTAGTTTTTTTTGGTAAGAAATCATTGTAGATAAAAAAGATGAAACTTTAAGTCACTGTACAAGAGATCTAAGGAAGACGAGAAAGACAAGCCAATTAAAGTTTGTATAATAATCCTCTGGTCATGGCGGTCTCCCTCATCAACATGGTTGTTCAGAAAAGTTATCAAAACCAAACGAGAGGGAACCCAATCTAATTGAAGAGAGAAAGAAACGTCGTTTTGGAAAGAAAAAAAGAAGAAGAAGGTAAGTGCGTCCATGCGATCAAAATAGGCTCCCAAATTCTTATAAAATTATACGGATATTTTAGTATTTCAGAATAAGAGTTTGAAGGGTATTTTAGACTTTAACAATAATTGTTGATGTATTTGTAATTGTTTTGTTTAATTTAATCAAATTAAAAAATAAACTTTAAATTTAGACTATTTTGTTATTTAAAGGTACTAAGTCTACTTATATGTAGTTTTTCCTTTATTTTAATAAAAAAAAAATAGATTTTTTTTGGTAATAATTAAAAGCATTTTTAATAGTTATCAAATTTAGTTTAGTAGAGTTTTTGAGAATCTAAAATTTTGAACTTTTAAAATTGGCATTGTAACCAATAGTACTTCTTCACCTTTCAAAGTAGAAGGTAGATAATTCAAGTTAAACGGGGTAAAGTAGGTGTGTGAGTGATGTGTGGCACTGAATTTTTTTTTAGTAGAAGTTGTATATTTTAGGTAAATATTTTTCAAAAACAATGTGAATGTTTTAAAAAATATTATTACTAAACACCTAACTTTTTTGACTACCCTAATCACAAACACGCTTTCTTTATTAAATGCACATGAAATCCCCGAAACAATGTCATTTTGGATGAAAAACAATTTGAGTGAGAATGTGGCTCTATATGCTTCTCTCTGCGTTTACATTTTCTTAAATCTTTGACAGATTTTGCAATTAAAAAAAAGGAAAAAGACTTAAAAATGTATAAAAATTAGTTTCTATGTCAAATGAAAATAATAAAAACAACTGTCATGATTTGACTGTTATGGACTAAGTGTAGTTGATCCAAATCGATTTAGAGATCAAATCAACAGTTGAGAGTCAATCCAATCCACACTCATTTAAGAGTTGTCATATTTAACTCAAATTATATTAATGCTTAAAATTTTAAACTCAAACTGAGATTTTAAAAAATGGACTAAAAATCTGGTTTAAACTTGAATTTTACACACAGACAGAAAAGTTTCATTTTAATAAGTTAAAATCAGATTAATCGTCTAAACACATTCACCTGAAACAAAATCCTCTCCAATTCCTATTCTACAAAAAAAATATGTTTGTGAAATTGATTAAAAATCACTATATATATATATTTTTTTTTGGTAAGATGCTTCCCAAACTTGGTAGAACCGGACCATTATTTTAGAGAATTTTAATTCCACATTCAACCCCCAACCCCAGGGAACAGTCGGGCTGGGTCGGGTGCCCCATTTTGACAACATCGGATCCACCCATGAGATGTTGAGCCCTAGATGACCCGATACCTCTTCGATAAATGACCCTGAAAACAGGAGAGACGTAGCTTGAGCTTGTCGAGAGTTGCGGCGTAGTACCCGAAAATGGAGCTCTGTACTGCTCGAACCTTCTCGAATCTTCCACGCCACACACTCTTCTCTGCAAACCAAACTCGCCTCCGATGGAAAACCTCTCTCCCTATCAACAAGAATTCGTCAATCCCTCCCATCAATCGAGGTTTGTACTCGTATTTTCTTCATCATTTTCACAGAACCCTAGAGTTTAGACTGGTTAGGTTTCGGAGTAAGTGTTCAATTTTGAACTAGTAGTGGAAAAGTAGGGATTTAGTAATTGTTTCCATGCTTAAATACAGAAATGAATACATATATATATATATATATTTATGTGTGTGTTTGTATACATGCGAACCAGATGTAAGTGTTAAAATTTGAACTAGTAGTGGAAAAGTAGGGCTGAAATGATATATATTTATTCATTTCTGTGTGTATGAACCAGAGAAATTAGAGTCAGTGTTAAATATTTGAACTTGTAGTGGACAATTAGGGATTTATCAACTGTTTCCATGCTTAAATACTTAAATGAGTGTGCGCGTGAGCGTGAGCGCGTATGTTTGTGTGAACATGTGAACTAGAGGAGAGAGAGTGTTAAAATTTGAACTAGTAGTGGAGCATGTTTATTAACTATTTCCATGCTTAAATACATAAATGAATATATATTTATGTGTGTGTGTGTACATATGAACCAGAGAAAGGAGTGCAAGTGTTAAAATTTGAACTGGTAGTGGATAATTAGGGGTTTAGTAACTGGTTCCATGCTTAAATACATAAATGAATACATTTATATATGGGTTATGTATTTGTTTCACACGTGTGTATACATGTGAACCATAGAAATGATACATGTGAATTCTTTTTGGTTCTGGGTTCAGGATTGATTTATTATACCAAGTCATCTCTAAAACCAACAACATCTGAAGAAACATCAACTGAAGCAAGCCAGTATGTTGAAATAGAACCAACTGAGAATAATGCATATGATGAAATGAAAAAGGAAGCACCTAAAGAAGATTATCCCATGGATGGGCAAACGTTGAGCTTTGACTTCTTAGATAAGCTTGATATAAAGGTTTGTTTTTGTATCTCTAAAACTTGCATTTCATGGTAGACTCTACTGCTGGTGTGAATTTATCTTCACTTGCATACATGAAGAAATCAACTTTATTGTAGACATGTAATTTAAGCATGGAAGAGTGTTTTACGACAAAATATAAATTATCTGGAGCTCCATTAAATGGTCAAAATATAAATTTTCTGGAGCTCAGTTAAATGGTTGCGTTCTGAATCTTGTGTAATAAAGGGTCCGGATATGGATCATGCTTGATTGAGTTTGCTGTGAAGTCGGACTTCAATGGGGCTTTCAATTATTGTTATTGTTATTGTTTGTTTTGATCTATTTTATTGATTCTTGGGTGCTTCAATGATTTTTCAATTCATTTCTTCTTTATTGATTTTGAATGATTTTAGATGTGCTACTGGTTCATTACTGCAAACAACATGCAGCTTCATAATTTTACTTCTTGATACTTTATGTAATCCAATTGGTTGCTGTGATGAATGCTAAAACTTATTGAAAGCTTAATGCCTGATGAAATGTCGACAATCATGTCGATCCTGAGCGGTTACCTGAGCAACCTTATCTTTTTTTACCTGTGTTGATAGTCTCTCTCTCTCTCTCTCTCCATATAATATATATATATATGTATAAAGGCTTAGTGATTAGTCTATATTACCTAATTATATTGGTTTGACATTTTTTAAATAATTTATATTTTCATGTAACTGAATGCTTTTCTTAATCATTCTGTGTTTTCTATACTTCAGGATATAAAATTGTCTAGTTGATTTAATAACTAGTTCACAGGATCATTAGCTTCTGTATTGTTGATTGGTAATTAGATACTTCAAATCTCTAGTTTCTTACTTATGGAACTAAGGATTATATAATACTATAAACCTCACTTGTTATAAATTTGTGTGTGTGCGGTTTTTTTTCGTTTTTTTTTTTTTTTTTTTTTGGGTGGATGTGTATTCAATTTTTATATATTAGATTAGATAGTTAGATTAGGTAGTCCACTTGGATTATGTTCTCTTTAAGTGGCTGTGTTGTTTTCTCTTGGTTCTCTTTTGTTATTGGGTGTGTTAACTGTTAAGTTAACGACCATTTTATTGGAAGTTCATTTATTATTGAATTATTGGATATCTTGTTTATTTATTGAAATTTACCTATGATTGAACTGTACGTAAAGAACTTTTTTCCCTTCTTTCATTCTTTTTACTTTTTCTTTCTTTTTATTATTCCATAATATAAATAAGTATATAGCTGATACAGAACATACGCCGCTGTGAGAAAGTTAGTGAAAGCATCTTTCTGAATGCTTGATGACATGTTAACAAGTAGGCGTTATACATATCAATTTTTTTATTTGCTTTTGGTTTTTTAAACAATTTGCTTTTGTTTCACTCTGTTTACTTTGTTCTTATTTTATATTTTACAGAATTTTTCCATATTAAATTGTTGAACTTTGTCATTTCCTTTTAGTTATAAGAAAATTCTCATTATTGATGTTTGATGTCAGTTTTCATTTCTGGTTTGCTTTTTATTCTCACTCTATTAAGTATTTTTTTTTATTTGGTCAGAAGTTTTAAGAATTCTTAGACCTTAAGAAGTGCATTACTCTAATGTGCTTTTGTTGTATCTTCTTGGTGTTTACTGTTAATGCCATTTTCATAATTTAGTTTCAAATATTCTTGCTTGATGCTTCCTTCAAATTTATGTATTATTAGAGTCTGGTTTGAGTGTTCAATTGTGTGGTGATAACTTACAATTTAAAACATAATCTTTATGCCTGTGTTGCTATTTAGAAGGATCTGAACTTCGCTACTACTGCTACCACCTTTGTTAGGACATAAATTTGCATTTATTCAACACCCCAACCCCCCCCCCCCCCCCCCCCCCCCCCCCCCCCCCTCTCTTCCTATTTTGATACGCGAGTTTCAGATATTATTTTTCCACTTTTGGGTAGGTAACTGCTTGCACAGATCCAACTCACACACACTGTTAACCCATTAGAGACCTGAATTTTCAACCTTCCATGTGGGAGGAGTTTGATACCTCTTGAGCTAAAGCCTCGGTATCTTCAGATTTCTGCTGCTTAGGGAATAGTATTGTAAGCAAGAATGATAATTTACACTGCCGTATACCATCACAACTAAATTGTCAGTTGCCTGGTAGGTAGCATTGAGTTCACTATAATGATGGTGATCAATTACATAAAAATTTCACTGAGACGGCTTCAAGCTGAATTTAGCGCATGTTTGGCAATGTGGGCTGATCCATACTTGGCCCCCGCTAAGGAAAAAAATTCAAATCTGCCAAATTGATAATTGAAGAATAAGAAGTTTGTTGACAATATAGGAATAGGTCTTTTTTCCCCCTGCTAACTGAGAATGTAACGGATTAGTAGCATCTGGTGTTGAAAAGCCTGTCTGAGCTTTGCAGCTTTATAGCAATGGTATGACACTGTTTGCACTTTATGTGAAGTAGATACAATTTTTTTTTTTAATGTCAGATCCAAAAAGATGGTTCTCTTTTGTAGCATACTACCTTTTTATGATTGATCTTAAGCTTGGGTATATATTTTATAGCATCCGAAATAATGGATCATGGGTGGTTCACAGCCTGATGACACACTAAGAGTAATAGATTGACATTTATCAACTACTTGGCCATATTTTGATGACATACTCCTTGATCAATTGCAGCTGGACTCCAAAGATTCATATTCATATATAATACTTGGTGGTGGTGCCTTAGCTTCTCTGTGGTTAGTGACAGCCGTTGTTGGTGCCATAGATTCTATACCCGTGGTGCGCGCTAATGCTCTTTTTTGTTTAAGGAGAACAAGTTTCTTAAGAGTTTTGAAATTTGTATATGGTCTTCTTTACTGACTGTTTGCTGCTGTTTACTCTCCATAAAAACAGTTCCCTAAGTTGATGGAAGTCGTGGGTCTTGCTTACACACTCTGGTTCACCTCGCGCTATCTCATCTTCAAGGTAGTTTATTAATAGTGTGTGGCTTTGTGATCAATTACTCCTCGTTAATGTCGGGACAATACAAATTTATTCGTCTGAACTTTGCAGGAGAATCGGGAGGAATTGGCTGCCAAGATTGAAGAGATTAAGCTGCAGGTTCTTGGTTCAAGTGGCGATTGATGCCGGGACTCATGGAACTACCATCTGGGCTATATGATGTTAGCCATGCAAAATCATAAAATGTTATTCTAGTTGAGCTGTTGGCAGGTTTTCATGCCAATCTGTGAATAAATAGAATTTAGAGGCGAAGTGCTTTATTGTTTTGCATTTAGAAATGAAAGTCATGACGATGATATATATTTACTTAAATATGTTCTCTAACTTGTTTCTTTAAGACCACCCCAAATGGACCTTGTTGAGGGAAGGATGACGGTAGATAGAAGAATGTTTTCGTGTTTGGTTGGAGGGAAGGCAAGAGAGGGAGGAAAAGAGGGATGCGTATTTTGTTTAATTGAAAGAAGAAAAAAAAAAGGGATAACTAACAATTATCAAGTTATTCTTATTTTTAATCTTTCTATAAATTTGAAATAAATATCTGATTTTTATAATTGTATCTAATAAGGTTATATTAGTAAAAAAATATATAAAAACTCTCATTCTCTTTCTGTCAACTTAACAATAAAAAAATGTTACCTTATCCATTAATTTTACTAAAACAAAAAGTGAGGGAAATACTTCCCGATTATTCCTCTCCTTTCCATTTATATTTTTATCCCTTCAACCAAATGGAGCATTAATTTCATCTCTCCTATCATCCATTTTTTTATCCCTCCAATCAAAGAAAGCATTAATCAACCAAATACATGGAACAGATGACAATATAAAATCGATTATCTATCTAAAAATAATAATAATAATAATAATAAAAGAAAAAAATTTAAAAATATTTTCCTCGTAATTGAATGTCACCCTTTCATTGATTGTCCGACGAGATCAAGGTCCAACCTAACCATTGAGCCCGAGGGTTGTGTGATGAGATAACAAGAATTTGTTAACCATTTCTTAGTATAGTAATTTCATCCCAGTTGTGCACATTTCTAGTTGTTTATATTTGATATTATATACAGATTGATTTGAAGATTGACAGAATTAAATTAACAAATTAGAAAGCTACACCCTAGCTTCCATTTAAAACATACTTGAAACATATCTAAACGTAGACAAGACTTCAGCTAGAGTTTTACAAATAACGGATATACGTAACTCACATAACTCTAGCAGTAACACACACATAAATTACACACACATATACATATATATTAAAGGTCCAACTTTAGTGGTATTTCCTCCTCTTTTTCATATGAAAAGTTGAGGGAAATGAGCTTTTGTGATTGTGACCGACTGTAAAAAATACACCAACTGTACAACTGAAATAGTAATATACATACATGCCAAGTCTGTAATTCGATACAAGAACATTAACAAATGCAAACGAGAGAGAGAGAGAGAGAGAGAGAGTCACTAATGGAGCCGTGTGTCGCGGCACGCCCCGACATGAATTGGATAGTCTGCATGGCAAGGACATTCCGTGACACATGGCACTTAATGATGACATGAATTATCTAAGCTTAAAATAGAGGATAAAGAGGATTGCGACGACAAGAGCTGCTATAACGGAGCCTATGATCCATTTGTTCCTGCTAAACCTGCGGGACATGGATGTTAAGACCTTTTTACTCTTGTCAATGGCATCATCTATCCCATGAAGCTGCAAAAGGAAGAAAAATCGCCAATCAACATAAAATAGCCACTGCTCGTATATGAGCACGTAATTAGTTTTGAAGCGTGGCTCACCAAGTATTGAACTGGTTAGAAATGGAAGCGAAGTTATAAAACTTGAGATCCTAAATTGGATCGGTTTGAAGTTTTCAGGATCAAATCGTAGGGTTGGATAGGATTTTACAAAATGAGTTGAGAAAGGTAATAACTAATAATATTTGTGCATTAATAGTTCTTAAAAATACACACAAAATATCTAAAACTCATGAAAAAACCTATACAAGAATTAAGACAAGCATGTGAAACACAGCTCTGAGCCTCTTGAGTAATAATAAAAAATCAATAGTAATAAAAAAATGTTTAATTCATATGGAACTAACTATGATAGTATTTACAATAAAATATAGAATGGAAATTTGTTAATATATCAAAATAATCTAATAATCGAGTTACTTGTCCAAGGATATACTATAAGAATGTCTTGACAAAGAGAAAAAAGATACAAATAAGGAGTAAAGATTGAGATTTAGAGAGAGAGAGCTCAAACTCAATGACTTCATGTATTGTTTATAAAGAAAAAAAATTGACATAATTATTATACTACGTACATTTAAGTTGAGCTTCACATTTGTTTCCTAATAGTTTTCGGATATTGGGTCCAAACTTCCTAACTTTAGGCTTTAGCAAAAGGAATAAAAGAGTAGCATTCTATGGCCATATTACAGGATTGGTAGAATCAGGAGTCAAACAGGGATCCCACATTCTTGAGATCCTATAGGGATTCCATAAGAGTTATACTGTAATGGGATTTTTTGTGGGATTGGTATCGGGATCAATTCAATACCTTTGGATCGTAAAATCATAGGGTCGTAAGATTAGGAACAATGGAAATATAATTAACTCAAGATAAAATGCTGATAAATGAAACAGAAACATAATAGGATCCATGATATACCTTTTTATGGGAATGCAGGAGAGTTTCACGTTGTTGATGCAAATCCTGAAGGATTGAGACTCCAAGATCTTCCGTCTCTAGTGCAGCTCTTCTACTCTCGTTGATTCTTTCACTTGACTGGTTTAGCCTCTCAGTGTGCATTGTCAATCTTCCTCTTTGATCTGCAGAAGCCTGTAGAATGATTCATCAGTTACAAAATGTATTCCTCAGCCAATTATATAATGTATAACCATCCGCACTGCACCAAATACAAAACATGGATTATTCGCTGTGAGAGGGTCGGGCATAAAGAGAGAGAATTCCTGTTTATCTTCTACAAAAAAGAAACACCTGCTCAATCTTGAAACCTGCTTCACATATAAAGCAGCCATGTGACAGGAGATAGGCTGCTTGACAAATCATTAGAATTTTTAACCACGGCAATATCAAAAGAAAATGCAATATCAATTAAAATAAAAGGAAGGCAACACTACATACAGAGGCAGTGAAAAAAGGAATGTTGGTTATGAAATACCTAAAGATATGGCCATAGATAAACAATATTTGAATGGAGAAGTAAAATCACAGTATCTGATCTGAAATGTTCGGGATACGAAACCATAAAGTTGTTTGCAGCAATCACAAAAAGGACAGATGAATATGCAATCTACTGTTAAACTGCCCTGTTAAGGGAAGTTATTATGTTCTTTCCCACAAGGCTCTTAACCTCAGAAAAACATTGGGTGTTAGCGATCAAGTTTGACCACAAGGAACTTAACCAATGACTAATTCTGGGAGAAAATTTTTAATAAAATGTCAAACACATAAAATATGATATCAGTAAATAGGATAGATCATGCAAATGTGAGAATGCCCGTCAAAGAGCCAAAGAAACAATTTTTATTCCAAATGTTCTCTTCAGATCAGTAATCCAGACCAACAAAGGCACAAGGTTCCAAATCTAGGTCCCTCTCGGAATAACATGAAACAAACTCAAATCATTGGACACTACATGATGACAGAAATAAAAAAAATCAGTGGACTGAATCCAATTTTTTAACTCAGCAGAATGAAATGTGACCTCCAATACTAATTCTCTTGAAGTCACATCATATATCATTGACATTTTATAAAAAGGAAATGTCCAAATTGTACAATCCAGACATACCGCATGGGCATTTGCCATTCCAGACTCCAACAACTCTTCGTGGGCAGCCTGATTCACGTTAGCTGATCCAATCTTTTTAACTTCCCTTTTCAACTTATTCAGATCAGATTTGTATTCCCTTAACTTGGCAAGCAGCATGGCCTTTAAACTTGGCTGCAAACTTCTTGCCTCAAGGTCCATTTTTCGTATCTAGCAAAACAGGGACAGAATTTCAAAACAAAGTGGAACTAAGAAAAATTTTAGCAATGAAAAAAGAAAACAAAAATCCCACGGAATACATACCAAAACATCGGCATCATCCAGTCCCACTTTTATTTCAGAAAGCTTTTGCTTCTTGTCCTCTGCAAAATACAATTCCAACATGAATCACAGTCCACAAGATTATTAAGACTGTGAAATGATCATGCACACACACACAAAGCCCAAACCATTACTGAAGCAAGAAACACCTTTATAAACACCCAGCATAAACACATCACATATATTTCCTTTTAAAAGAATTAAAAGGAAGTTCTTACAAATGGATTTACACAAATGTCTCATGATATTGCCATAAGACACTAGAAGTGATTACTAAAGCTGAACGGATGAATAAACTCAGCTGTAGAGCTTGTATGTGCAATCAACATGTCCACTGCGCTATGTTCTCTTTTGGTAAATGAAATGTCATTAGCACATTCCATGTAGCCCTCAACAGGATACCATGTTTAGGCAAAACACAGCCGAATTCTCACCAAAACACCAGTCTGTAGGTGACCCCATAAACAAAAGATTTACATCCTACATAAAGTATACCCTTTTTCAAGAGCAATTTCCAAAGATATATTTTTAATTATAATTCTGAATCGATTGCAAAGTTAAAAATTCTGTAACCACAAAAATGAGTGTTTCCTACCATAACCTATCAAAGTTCACATATTTTAGTTTAATATCCTACTTCATTACATAATGGAAGTCAAATGATATGCTACTTATTCCAAATTTCCAAGAAAACTTCAGTAGATAAATCATTAAGCCAGTGCATATGCTATACAAAAATGACCTACTTACTACCATTAAATGCTAAAGCGTAACGAAATGAGCTCGAAATTTTTTCCAAAATACACAGAAGTGAAGTAGTAAAGTGCATTTGAAACAATTGAACTTGTAAACAGCAATGAAAGGTTCTCTTCATACCTCCATCAGGAAGAAGCCCAGCTGAACTGCACTTTCTGGATAAATTGGCAGAAAGCTCGCAGTACTGCCGCTCGTACCCTTCGTAGACCTCACTCATTTCTCCTACAAATCTCATTGTTGATCAATAAGTTAAAGGGTTATATCAATTCAATACAATTTTAGGAATTAATCTACAGAATTTTCATAAACCCATATCATTAAACACTATAAATCATCAAATTGCAAAACCCTAGTTCTTGATCGATCCCAATCAGAACCAGAAAAGAGACTGCCCAATAATTGTTTCTACTACATGTTAAGCTCCAAGAAATCAAAGATTTGTTAACAATTGAATGATCTGACAAAAGAAACGCACATATATACGGACATAGCACAGCATTCGATTCTATATAGATATTAGATACAGATTCGTTAAGGAAATGAAGTTAAACGGAGCAAATACGGTACCAGAAAGCAAAGCAGTGATGATGATCAGAGATGAATCTATGGACTTACAATTTGACAATTTGTATATCTATATATATATATATATATGTCGATATAGACAAACCCTGAGAAATTGCTCGGAAGGTGGAGATGTCAACCGTAACGTATTGTAATTTCGGAAACTTTGGAATAGGCGGATGTGTCGGACGCCTAGATTTTCTTTTATTAATTTCACTATTTCGCACGCATTTTTTTTCTTTTAAAAATCTTTTTAACAATTCACTCTTTTTTTATTATTTTACTTCATAAATTATAGTAATACATGAAGGAAAATTATATTATACACATTATTTGTAAGTGTAAAAAGAAGAATTTTAAGAAGTAGACAGAGAAAAAAAAAAAAAAAAGGAGGAGGAAAAGGAAACAAAATTGAGAATCTAAAAGTTAAAAAAAATAGACTTTAATTGAAGAAAAAGAAATTAACTTTTTTTTTAAAAGGAAATCAAAGAAATTAATAAAAGAGGAAAAAAAAAAAAAAGAGATAATTTTAGATTTTAAAATTTTTATGAGGACATTATATAGATTTTTTCTTATAAATGTACAAATAATATAAAAATAAAACTATATTTTATAATTGGGCACAGGCTTTACTCCGGGACACATGTGGACTCCAATCTATAAAAAATTAAAATAAAGTGAATTAAAAAAAAAAAATTAAATTTATATTTTAATATGAGAATCTGAATCATTCAATAGACATAATCAAATGTGACCACAAAACTCAACCAAACAAATTAAGACAATTAGTGAGGACCCAACTCATTTATTCCATGGATATTTAATTATTATCAAATCCCACTTTTGAACAATACTTATTCCATGTTATTTTATTTAAGGATAAAGTACAATAACACTTTTTAAGTTTGTCAAAAGATCACACAGGTAAAACTTACTTATTTTTTTAGATAAAGACACTTATTGAAGTTTACAAAATGGATAAAGACACCCCATTGACATGAGAAATTAACCAAATTACCATTTGATCATTTAGGAAGCATTTATAACTTTACAATTTAATAAATTGGACCAATTTACCCTCATGAACAATTTATGCATTAAAAAAAAAAAAAGAAGCATTCTCTTCTTCCTTAATACCTAATACCTAATACCTTCTCTCTCTCAATGGACCAGACGGTGGTGGTGATGGTCTGGACAACGGCCACGGCCATTGCCCTCTGCTCTTCCCTGATTAATTTCGAAACAATTAACCAAAACACAGCCTGCAATGACAAAAAAAAAAAAAAAAAAAAGAAAAAGTATAAGGGGTGATTTTGTCCAAAATACTGGTAAGTTTCATCTATGTATCCTTTTGACAAACCTCAAAGAGGTGGCTGTACTTTACCCTTCATTTAAAATAGACAAATAAGATGAGTAATGATGCAAATGATCAAGTTTGATAGGATTTCAGGTTAAATCATAATGAATTAATTCCGAGGATTTCAAAGAAATTAGAATTGGAATTGAAACCACCGAGGCTTGAAACCGAACCCAAGTTTTTTTTTTTTCAAAATAAAATAAATAAACTCAGTAAAAAACCATTTGACAACATGTTTGACAAAAAAATATGTTGTGTGCTTGTGTGTAGATTGTATGAGGAAATTTTGGACCAAGGAAGAGTAGGAATAATGATTGTAGTTGATTTTGTAGACTAATCCTATGTTTGCCTACTAAAAAAAAAAAATCGTTTGGTAAATAGAAGATAAGGAGGGAAGAGAAAAGAATATATGTGTTTTGTTCAAATTGTTTTTTTTTTTTTTTGGTCCTGTTGTGACAGTGGATAATAAAAAATAGGTAAAAACTATTTTATTTTGCACAGTGCAGAAACATTTCTTGAATAGTGGCCAAAAATTAAAACACCAATTTGGTGATTTTATGTGTGTTCGCACTGAAACGTTTGGTACTGTAGCAATGACCAATAATTTTTTTTAAAAAAAAAACTCTTAAATGACATTTTTAAATCAACCATTTTCAAACTTACAATATTTTTTTACTAAACATGTTTTTATATTTTTATTTTTAAAAATCTTGTAACAAATAAACGTTGTCAAATATTCTTTTGATTACTATTCAAAAAACTTTGTAACAAAATACTTGTTTTGTTTTAAGTTATCAAGTTAAAATAAAACGTCAAAAACAAAACGTGTACCAAATAAGCCTTTAACAAACAAAATAAGGTGTTATCTCTTTCTACTATCTTCCACCCAATCAAACAAATAAAGAAATGATACCATCATTTCCATGGGAATATCTCTCTCCTCCATCAATTTTCTCTCCTTTTTGTCCAATTTTTTACTTTTACGCTAGTTATTGTTGGAAGTTTAAACTACTAAATAAAACAACTAATGCAAATGTTTCGATAGCCCAGTGGATTAGTGCCTCTGATAAATTTTGAAGTACCAGGTTATAATACAACTAATAAGTACATTACCAACAAATAATACCACTCCTTGATTTACTTCTATGATTTCGTTTGTGTTTTTTAAGTCACTGAAACTAGAAATAATAATACTAATAATAATAAGGGGAAAAAAAAAGCAATGCTGACAACATTTCATTTTGTTTGGTAGTTCAGCTAGTAGGGGTTTCTTTCTTTTCCTTTCCTTTCCTTATTTATTTTTTCCTTCCGGGTCCGTTTGGTTAGACAGAAATGTATGATGGGAAGTGAAAGTGAAAGAAAGTGAAGTGAAAAAAAGAAAAATCAAGTTTCCAGCATACATTTGGTTCGTAGAAAAAAATTTCTTGAAAGTTGTTGGAAAATATTATTTTGCTAGTTTGGATAGCATGAAAAAGAAAAGAAAATGATTTACTTACCAAAACTACCCTCATGATTTCAAATACTTAAAAATAAATTAATTTTGTGTTAGATGAATCATCTTTATACTTAATTATTTATATTAATTTTTAACAAATAAATAGTAAAATGATGAATTATTAATAATAATAATTATTATTATTTATATTCATATTTAAATTAGAACAAACTAAGGAGGACTCGATTTTAGTTATCAAATTCTTTTTATTTTGTATTTTAAATAATAATTATTTATATTCATATGTAGAATGCAGTTCATTTATCATAACATACTCGTGTTTTTATTGGAATAAAAAAGCTGCTACCAACCGACAAAACAAATGAACTGAAAATTAAAAAAACTAGCCGTTAGAGCTACGAAGAACAAAAGTTCTCTCTCTCAGAGTACAAGCAAATTCAAGCTGAAGAACACCGAGTGATCATATTAGGGTTTAATGGTGCTGGTAATTATTAACTCTATCCATCGTTTAGTTAGTGATTTTAACTTTCCCTTTTGTTTGTTGCTCTATTAAGGTGGGTAGGGTTTATTGTTAGGGTTTCCAAGAGTTTCAGAGAAAAATTGGGCGAAGAAAGGTTTATGGTGGTAGTAGCATGGTAATTATTTGATAAAATGCCCACTAGAGGAGTCTCTCTCTGCAGGTGTCAGTGGGCTTTGAAACCTTAATTTTATACATATATATATCTTGCTCTTGTTGGTATACTATCGTCAAAATATCTGTTGTTAATTTGATTCACTCCACACTGCTTATATTGGACTGTAATGATTTTGATCGAGTTGCAATATTGCTGTACTGAGGAAAGGACCAAGACTACAGATTCAAATGGGTTTTGATCTTTTGGCTTTTCTTGTTTACCAAATCTGGTTTGCTATGTTGAATGAGTCTACTAATACAGCACAGTCAAGTTTTTGATGCCAGGTGAAAACTAAAAACCTTCCTAACAACAGAGGAGATCATGACATCAAAGATCAGAGCAATTGAAGAGGAACAAGGTGTGTTAATTGTTTTTTTCATTGCTAGCTTCAAAACATTGCTATTTTCTATTCAATTAAAGTTACAGAAGTTAGGAGCAATACAAATATTTTGTGGAAAAAATATATATATGCAGAAAAAAATCATTAATTTGAATTACATTAATCCTATTGTTGAAGATGAGAAGCCATCTCTTTAATTGGCAGCATCCTCTGCCTGAGTTGGGAGTTTAACAAGTGCAAAGCAAAGTTGCGATTCGGGCGTTAGGAATGACCAAACTTGAAGAATGTCATCTTCAACAAACTGATTGGCTTTGGCAATTAATTTCCAAGGCTTAACCAAGGGCATACTGGCTATTCATTTCCCACATTTTCAACTGTGTCCTAAATTCATTCAATCCTGGATCAATCAGTAAAGCGTCTATTCCCACCCGTTTCTTTCCTACTGTCATCTTCAACCGTCCCTTTTCATCATCGGTCAGAAATTGGCTTCTCACATCGTTCACCGGCATGGACAACCGGTTGTGATCAATGCTAAGATCAGTAGCAAACAAGGCCTTCTGTATCAGCAGCTGGATGTTAGAACCGCCAATCTGGCCGATTCGATTGCTCATCCATATAGGCATGTCCGGTGATTGGTTGGGTCCATTATACTTCTTCGTCTTCTTCTTCTCACCATTGATGATCAGTGGCCAAATTGTCAAGAAACAGATTATTGATGATGGGTTTCTTTCTCTGTTTCTTCATGGGTGATCGGAGGGGCAGTTTCTTGATGGGCTTCTTGGGAGTTGAAAAATGATTAGTGGGTGTCTGAATCTGATGATGATTCACGGGCTTCTTGAGAGATGGTGATCTCTGTTTCTTGACTGGCCATGGGAGAAGCAGAGAGAGGCGATGGTTTTCTGTGCCATATTTGTCCCTGGCAATTCTGCAAACTTCCATCAAGCAATCGAATGGACTCCAACTGGGATTGATCTCAACTACATCTTCAAGGCGTATGTCGCTCAACACCATCTTCTTCTTCTTCATCGATTCTTTGCGCAGTGGAGAAAAGTGAAGATCAATGGACAAAAAGGGAAAGAACGGGCGTCCGTTTGTTGCCGCTTCTTCCTGTTTGGAAACTAGTAATGTTTTGTTGTATTAACTCTAGAGGCGGCGTTTATTAACTTACTATTGTAAATGTCTCTCAAAGTATAATGAGAATCCACTCGGACATTGTATTACATTCCAAAAACACCTTTCTAGTTTTTGCTTTTGAAAGTCAGTTTTTTTCTGTGAAAATCTTCTCTCTCTGTATATTGTTTATATGTGAATCGCTTTTCAAGTTCTACATGGTGAAGAAAGGGAGGAAACTGCC